TCCCGTGTTGAGGTCGGCAACGGAGATGCCGGTCTCTTCAGAGATGTTTGTGAGCACAGAGTACTGCACGGCGGTGGCAATGGCCACTCCGAAGATGTACGTGTACACCATCCAGATGTTCAATTGCTTTCTCCATGGTTTCCAGTTAAGCGGGTCTTCCGGGTCGGCGCTGGGACGGGGATTGAGAACAATATCATGGTTGTGAGTTGTATGCTGCAGAGTGTCGATCAGGTGGATCGTCCCTGGCACGACGTCGGGGACTGCGGTCGCCATAGTGAAGATGTGACCGTAGGTGAAATTTCAAAGAGAGTGGAAAATGCAAGGTCTCAATACTTTACGATTTGCCCGCCTCTGAATGACCGAGCTCACCTTTATACGTGCAAGGCATGCATGTTCACCGTGGTGTGTGTAAAAGTGCAACTTGTGGACGAAGCCGGATTGGCCTGGCTTGGAAGCCTAGATAGGGTTGGAGGGCACCTTTCCCAGTCTGTTTATCTAACCTTCCATTTGAGTCGCGAAGATAGTGTTGAAGATGTGCCCGTGGCTGGCGATCAACTCCAGACCAGAAGACTTGACGATCGGGAGGGAGCCGTGAAGAAAGAGCCAGGTCCAATAGAGTTTCAGCGACGGGCTTGTAGGCTAGAAGCATATTGTACGGAGTACTTTGGTGATAAGGCTCGCGGAGGTGTGGGCCGAAGGCCTTTCGTTCCCAAAGAGGAAGCTGAGTTCGACGAAAAGGGAAATTCAGCCACATATGGTATGGCCACTCATGGCCTAGGCTCTCGGCGGTTGGCTCATGTTAACTGGCTGGGGGTGCCGAAGAAAGCATGTCTGTGAGACTGAGAGCATTCCGAGAGTGGAAAAAAGCCCTATATAATTTGGTGGCCTTGAGAAACGACGACTCTGCATCTTCAGTCTTTCGGCGCAAGCAGTGGTGCAACAGGCTCATCACCATAGTTTAACGTCAGAGAAAGGTACCTACGCCAGGATGTCAACAATCGATGTGGCTCCTGCAGGCTACCCTGCTGAAATCATTGGCTACGCAGACCCCTGGATTGTAAGCCCGGGTGATGCAGTCGACATCAAGGTATTGGCCACCGTGACCACCCGACTCGAGAGAATGTCACTAACTAGGATGTAGATATCGTGCACGGAGCCGAAATACAAATATCGGACGGTGCGAATCATTCAAGGCGTTAATCTTGAGCATTCACCGAAGGAGCAGAAGGAGATCATTTCTCAATGTCCCGCTGGGACTGGCACGGGGAGGTTTCAGCTTGCTCGACCAGGCTCTTATGCATTGGTGAAGAACTGGTTTCCCCCTTCGACCGTGGATGTCCAGGGCCTCGACATTTCCTTCTACTTCCAACCCTGGTTGCCAGAAGCCGGCCACTACCAGACGCTCCTGTCGTCACTTGAGATCAGCGACAAGAAGGGCTTCGCGCTGGCGATAAATGAAACAGGGAGCGTAGAATTCTGGTCTGGAAACGGTCGCGAAATTGAGACCATCAAGACCAATTTCAAGCCACAGAGGAAAAGGTGGTCGAGAGTGGGCATTTGTTGGCGCGGTACCGATCTCACCATCTCTGTCACGCCTCTGTCGCTATTCGCTGCTTCATCGGGCGATCCTTTCACCTTTTCGCACAAGTTGGCAGACCCCATCGCCATCTCACACACCAGTGAGTTGCTTTTCGCCGCAAGTCGTGCAGGCGATGCCGCAAAGGGGTTGCGTCGGGCGACCAACTTCTTCAACGGCCGTCTTGACAGCCCCCGGGTTCACACTGTGGGCAGAACCCCTACAACCTTGGTGAAGTTCGACTTCTCGCGCGCCATGTCAACTGATACCATAGTGGACGTCTCCGGCAATGGACGCAACGGCATCTTGGTAAATGCTCCTACCAGGGCTGTCAAGGGCTATGACTGGGACGGGACTGAGAATGATTGGACCAAAGCTCAGTACGGCTACGGGGCAATCCATTTTCATGAAGACGATCTCGACGATGCGGCGTGGCAGACTGACATACGGATCACGATCCCAGCGGATGCTCGCTCTGGAGCTTATGCGGTCGAGGTCGAGTCCGACAGGGCTTCAGACAGCATCCCTTTCTTTGTCCGGCCCAACAAAAAGGCATGGGCGGAGCGGCAGGGTAAGGTGGCGTTCGTCATCTCGACATTCACTTACCTCGCGTATGCCAACGAGCAGTTGTGGAACAGGAAGCGTGTCTCGTCGATCGACGTAGGGCCCGGCTTCGACATCAACGACATAACCATTACAGAAGACTTTGAGAAGATGAGGCGGCGAACCGACTTGGGCTTATCGAACTATGATGTGCACAACGACGGATCTGGAGTGGTCTATTCCTCGGCAAAGCGACCTATTCTCAACATGAGGCCCAACTATGTCATGTGGGCCTGGAAGAGGCCTCGCGAATTCAGCGCAGATACTATGATGATCGGGTTCCTGGAGCGGGAGGGTATACCATACGAGACTGTAACGGACCATGATCTCCACGAGCAAGGTGTTGCAGCGATTGAAGGCTTCAACACGGTCATCACAGGAAGCCACCCTGAGTACCCGAGCGTCCACTCTTACAATGCCTACACAGCATATGCCAAGCAAGGCGGCAACCTGATATACCTGGGGGGAAATGGCTTCTACTGGGTCACTTCCACAGATATCACCACCCGGCCACACCGGATGGAAATCCGCCGTGGGGACCAGGGTGCCCGATCGTACGAGATTCCTGGTGGCGAGCGAATCCACAGCCTGGATGGCCAACAGGGAAGCTTATGGAGATCGCGAGGTCGAGCATGCAATGTGCTCTTTGCGATTGGATTCGCGGGCGAAGGGGCCGCGCCAGGTGTCCCTTACGCAAGGTCCGAAGTGAGCAAGACGGACGAGAGCGTGGCCTGGATCTTTGAAAACATCGGCAAAGACGAGATCCTGGGAGAGTATGGTCTCGGCGGGGGAGCCAGTGGTGACGAGATGGACCGCTTCGACGTCAGGAATGGAAGTCCGGAGACTGCAAAGGTGCTTGCATCTAGCACCGGCCATCCCGATGAGTTTGGCATTGTGCCTGAAGACGCACCCTTTCCGATCACCAATACCCTGGGCACGCAGAACCCTCTCATCCGGTCGGATCTCACGTACTACATCAACTGTGGTGGAGGAGGGGTGTTCTCGGTGGGTAGCATCAATTGGTGCTGCTCACTCGGATGGGACGATTACAAGAATAACATCGCAACTTTGACTGGGAATGTGATCAAAGGTTTCTTGAAAGGACGGAAATAGATGGAGCTGCTGGATGATCTGTGCAATAGCAGTCTGTCAGCTCTGCCCGGGGCACAAGTTCTCAAAGGCTCCAAACGACTAACGCTCCAGCCGCTGTGGTGTTTGACTGAGTCAAATGTCTCCGAGTCGTGACAGAGGCTTGATATACTTCCAAGTAAAAATGCCCAATTCGTGATGCTTCGGCATGGTTGTCCAATAAGAGAATCAAATCACATGCCGCCTGGCAAAGTGTACAAGCTCCATCTCAGTGTCCATCATATGAGCCAGATTTCGAATACCCTTTTAAGAAGATCAAACTCCTTGTCGATATGGGAAAGGCGATTCAAAGGTGACCTCACTTGCTGCCAACCTTGTAAGTCCAGTATACGACTGTGATCCTGGATTCGTAATACAAACCACGGAAGTGGGGGAGCGTTGAAGCTGGAGAAGCACCGAGAAGTAGTACCCAGTAGACCGGCAACGAGCCAAGGTGAGCGAGGTGAGTGCGACGACGAGAGGAGGGTGTATCGTTATAAAAGCGGCAAGTTTGGGGTGAGGCTCATCATTTGGCGCCAAGAAGCATCTCACCGGCAGCCTTCCGCTGATATAGAGAGTGTAATTCCCCGGAAATGGATACTATGCGCCATCATCAGATGATTCCCATAGCCTCGGCGCACAGCTGAATCCATCCAGAATTTCCAGAAAGGGGTGCTTGGCGATGATTGATCCATCAGCAGGCCTTAGCAGATGAGATTCGGAGCTAGCATGGTAAGTGTTGCGAGGCTCGCAGGCGATATCTTACCAATAACAGAGGTCTGAGAGGAAGTCTATATTTTGGGTTCAACCGTGATAATATGGTATGGTCTTGGAAGTCAGGCCCTACATCTCTTGTCTTCCACTGTGTAGAAAGGTCATATCAGATGCATATAGCCGCCTGAGCCGTTGTAAGCAATTACGTAACTCAGGGGCCGTCAGATCTCACCTCAAGTTGTACGAGATCCGACTTGACTTATGCGCAAGCATAGGCTTCATCTTCCGCTCGGGTTCGGTGCAATTCGTCTAGACGTCGACCAGGATCCTGAAGCTGCCGTTGCCGACGTTACCGCGACATATACCCTGGTGTAGGATCAATAAAGCGGTCGATCTAGAGCAATACAAAACAGCCCCAAGGATTATCGCGGCGCATGTTGTTCTTCGAACGAGACCGGGGTCCAATGTCTCCGTAGGTTGCGCATGGCCATTTATGAAGACGGGCCAAATTAACCAGGACCGAGGCAAGCTCCTGGATTTGCTGATGAACTCTTCCTTCTTGGTTAACTCCATCGTTGGTCGATTACAACTTGGCGTAATCGAAAGAGGCAGCTTTGTATTTCCGTTTCGCACCGTCAGCATGTTAAGTCCGGTAAAAGACCTTTTGGCGATTCTCTGAGGTGTAAAGAGGATACCCACGGATGTTGTTTGCCATGGCTGTCCAGAACATCACAATTTGTCAGCTGACGAAGGGTCAGAACAGCCTTATGAGAAGCCAGACCAGGCGTATAGCCTGTAACCGCGGCGACAAAGCTTCTCTGGACTGGAATATAAAAGGCGAGTGCCTTTCTTCAGCTGTGAATGGAAAACCTCAAGCTCGAGGCAGATCAGTCGGACAGCAACATATCGAAGAAGCCCCAGTTGCCTGTGGAAATCTCAATTTGGTCGAAGCAAGGTGAATCTTAACGGCTTGCATACCATGGGCTCTCCAAAGGAAATGCATCCACTCCTCGCAGACCTCTTCAAAAGGCCCGACCTCGAGGTTCTCACCACTTCATCCACAGCCTGGGCAGACATCCGTCCCACCTATGTCATCGATAATCCAGCGAGACCTCTTGCCATTGCCCGACCGAGAAACGCCTCCGAGGTGTCTGATTTTGTGCACGCTGCACGGCGACATGGGGTCAAGATTAGCGTCAGAGGAGGAGGCCACGATGTCTTCGGTCGCAGCATTGCAGAAGGATGCTTGGTGATCGATATGCGGAAGATGAAGACGATCGAGATCGCCCAGGATCGTGAGACAGCTACTCTCGGGGGCGGTGTTTTGATTGGGGATGTTATCGAAACATTGGCCTCCCAAAAGCTCACTACCCCATTTGGATATATACCAACCATTGGATATGCTGGGTGGGCCATGATGGGTGGTTACGGCTGGTTGGCGCCGAGGTTTGGGTTGGGAGTGGACCAGATCCAGAGAGCTCGTGTGGTGACCTGGCAAGGTGATATCATCGAAGCAGATAGTGAACTGCTGAAAGGAATCCGAGGAGCTGGTGGTAACTTTGGCATTGTGGTGGAGCTGGGAATTAAGATATATCCATTTGAAAAGGCAAGTATGATATTTCTCATACTGAAGAACTGCGAAGCTGACGGTATACGCAGTTCCTGGCGGGGACCATCTTGTTCCACACGTCAGAAATACAGGCGACTGTCCGCAAATACTTCTCCGGCTATAATGCGATGACCAAATCCCCGTTTGGAGCGGTCTCGCCCTTCTGGTACCCCAAGCGGGACATGTCAGGCTGGATGTTCGCGGTCAACTTCGCTTGGAGTTCTCCAGACATGAAAGCTGGAAGACAGTATCTGGGCCAACTCGCAGCTTTAGGGGACGCAGCTGATACCTCGCTGGTCAAGGAGATGACACCGACGGAACTGATCAATCTCATTGTGTCGTGGACTCCGGGCAGAGTGTATGGGTTTGAGGCATGCAACGGGGTAAGTTTCGCCAAAGTCACAGAGCGGGCAGCCGACGTCGTGGGAGAGTTCCTCGCGAAACTACCCGTGGACTCGGCCAACGTGTTGTTGATCCATGAAATGCGAGGGCCTTCCGCAGAGCCTGACCCGGGATCTTGCTTTGGAGCGCGCTTACCTCACTCTGTGATGGAGCTAGTCGGCATCACCATTAATCCCGACAACGTCAAAACTTCGACCCAGCGATATCGGGAGTTGTATGGTGCATTGCATGGCACGGGGGATGCTTTGGGTGTCACTTATGCGTCGCTGACCCAGACTCGAGACACCGACACTAGCCAGTTGTTCGGCAAGGAGCACCAGTTCGTGATGGACCTGAAGAACAAGTACGACCCGGAGGGGGTGTTTGACAACACAGAACCAAGGCTGCGCCCTTGACTATTCAGTGAGAGGCATTTGGGGGGGGGGCACATTGGGAGAAGATGCTTCCGGTCAGCGCAGGGAGAAAATCCAAATCGAGGTTGATAAGTCGTCATTTGAAATCTTGGCATAAATGACATCATCATCCACTAGCTTCAATTTCCCGTCTTGCCGGCGGACGAATTGATCTGTGTAAGGCGGGCGTCGGATTGATAGACGGTGACCTCCTCTTACTCGCCCAGTAGTGACCAGCAGCCCGTCGAACCAGTAGATGTGGGCAGTACAGACGCGCCTTTCTCCATGTCGTTGGCCAGATCTCTCTGCACATGAGCATTCTCTGCACAGCTGCCTGTTGATTCTCCCCTTTTGCCAGTCAGTTCACGTCTCTACCCCTCGTGTTGTTGTCAGCCCTCCCTCACAGTTGCTCCTCTCACCTTATCACAAGACCGCATCGTAATTCCCTCATCTGCTGCTCACTTCGTATCGGACCTCAGGTACTTCAGTGCGATTGCAAGCCTCTCTGCGACTATCTTGCCCCTCCTTCCGATATCTTGCTCACCCCGCGAGTGCCGCCCACAATGGCGGCTACGTCCTACTCCACGGACCCGACACTCTACCTCTATACCTCTCTAACAGCAGGCTCGTCTCACATCATTACCGCGACCTCAAGGCTAGAGACCATCCTCAAAGCCAACAAGATCCCGTTTCGGGCACTGGACTGTGCAACAGACGAGAAAGCGCGCATGCTGTGGGGCAGAAGATCTAAGGGAAGAAAGTTGCCGGGTCTGGTCAAATATGGAGAGATTATTGGTGTATGTTGTGCCCAGCCCTGTCCCGACACTGTCCTTTGCTAACCAATACTCAGGATCTCGAGCAAATCGAAGAGTGGAATGAGTACGGGGAGCTCAAAGAGCAAATTTCTGCCACTCAAGATTTTGGCAGCCTGACCGCCTCCACAAACCTGGCTCCGCAAGTTCCGCAAGTTCCAGCAACGAGCACTTCTTCGACTCCATCAAGATCAGGCCCGCCCTCTCGCGCTTCGTCCGAGACTCGCCACATATCTATTGCGGAACCGCCAGAGAAAGAGAAGGAAAAGGCTACCGCGGCTGGAGAGGCAAAGCCAGCTTCGTCACAGAAATCGGCTGAAAATCCCATGAATGTGGCCATTCGACAGTTAGGGGCGGAAGCCGCAGCCAAAGCAACACAAAAAAAGGCCGCTACTGCACAGCCTCCCAAAGCTGCAGCAATCCCGGTCAAGGGACAGAGCACGACAGACCAAGTGCCCACGGCCGCAGCAGACAGAGTGGGCACAGAGGCAGCGGTGGAGTCGCCCGACACGGCGGCCGAAGTCACAGCAGCTAAAACGCCAGCTCAACTCGCCTCGGAAGGTGCAGCCAGAACATCCGTCGACAAAATCGCGGAGTCGGAAGACAAACTAGCTGCAGGTGCCGCCGAGGATCCATCGCCCTCGAAGGAAGAACAAATTCTGGAGATGCGGCGAACAAGCAGCGTTACAAAATCCAAGTCGAGGTTAAGTGACGTTACACCCATAGAAGAGAGCGACAAGGTTGTAGCAGAGCCGGAAGAGACGTCGACTGCGTCTCAATCTTCAATTGCTGTGCCAGAGAAGGAAGTCAGTTCCAGTTCTTCTACGAGTTTACCTTCGCAGGCAGCGCCACCTAGGCAGCACCGTGGAAGCGACATTGGAGAAGCAACACCCGAAGAGATTCGAGCGCTGGAGAAGGAGTTGAGTATTCCGGAAGAGAATGATGATGAAGATGATGATGACGATGGGGAGGATGCGGTTGAGATAGCGCAAAGCAAAGCAACCGAGGTGACGAGTACCGACAAGGCTGAGAACGAGGCTACAAAGGGCACGGAGCCACAGAAGACCGAGCCCAAAGACGCGGACAAGGCTGGTGTCAGCGTGGGCGACTAACTCACAATCCGACATGGGCTCTTTGCTGCAAGGCTGGGGCTGATCGCAGCGGCTGCCATGACTGGCGGTTGATGTCGGAGCCCCTGATCCAAGCGGACAGGACATGGGTTTGGTTTGTTTACCGTGGCAAGTGGTACAAGGCAAAGGAGCGCAGCGCAGCAGGGAAGGGCAGAGCACAGCACAGCACAGCACCCCGAGATTGATGTCTGACGATTGCTTTTGATTTCGATCTCGACGCTGCAGGCATGTAGATGCAAATCCAATCACTGATGAATTTTTGCGCCTTGGATTTCCTCAACGCCCTGGACTCCCCTCCTTTGCGTCCTGCTTATGTACCTGTTACCTCTGTTTCCGCCTCGAGCATGACGGGTAAGTAACTTTGTCCGCTGCACCTCGTCCCTTCTCGTGGCTCCTGCTTCACCGATACAGCGAAACAGACGTCACGAGATACCAGTATATAGTACCTAGGTAGCCGACCAGTCCCCAAGCCCAGGTCCAAGCCCCAGGCACGACTCGAATCAATCCAGTCTCATATCCTCCCTGCAGCCCTGCCTGGTCCGTCGTATGGAATGCGTCTCCACCGTCAAAGTACCGCCATGCGAGGCTAGCCTCCTGAAGCCCTCCCGGTCTGTCTGGTGTGTTCTCGACTTGACTCGACTCGACTCGACGCACCGTGTACAGGGAGTGGTGCGGGTGAGTCTTGCTCCGGTTGTTATGTTCGTGCAGTCTTTTCTCGTGTTTTTCATCGTCATTTGCTCATTATGGTCGTACCGCTAGCTAGCGAGTAATTGGTCGCCCAGGTTGTCAGCAGCGCAGCGGTAGGTAGGTAGATATGTAGAGGAGCATCCATGCATCAATATCCCACCGCCGTAAAGGATCACACCCTTTTCATACCATGTCATTGCACCGCTCTCCCCGTCGACTTTCACGCGGGAGGACACGCTTAGGTCCATCAACGCACCATGACCCCCTGCCACCCACCCCCCTCAATGTCGTCCCCGAGTTTACAGTCTGGCCCTGAGACCCGTGTCGTTGGCCCACCCGCGGCCGCTCATTTCCACCTCGGTCAGTCTCCAGCCTGCCTCGATGGCGACCAGTTCGGCGCACCGCTCCCCGACGCCCAGCACCGTCAACATAGGATTGATGGTGGTCATGGCCGGGAAGACGCCCGCGTCGGCGATCCTCAGCCCCTTGAGGCCCCTCACCTTCAAGTTCTCGTCTACCACGGCCATGTCGTCCTGGCGCACGTCTCCCATCTTGGTGGTGCCCGCCGGGTGGTAGACCGTGTGGGCGACCTTCCGGGCATACTCGGACAGCGCTTCGTCGGACTGGATTTGCGGGCCGGGGGCCACCTCGCGCTTGATCCACTCCTTAAACGGGGACTGCTGGGCGATCTTGCGCGCGGCGCGGAGGCCAAAGACGAAGGTCGCGGCGTCGTAGCCCTCCGGGTCGGTGAAGTAGCGGAAATCCAGCGCCGGCTTGACGCTCGGGTCGGACGAGGTGAGGTACAGCTTGCCCCGCGAGCGAGGCCGGGGAATGTTGGGGGTCATGCAGAAGGCGTCGACCGGAGTGTCGTATCCCAGCCTCGTCGTGTTCAGGCAGAACGGGATCTGGTAGCAGTGCATCATCACGTCGGCGATGTTCCCATCCGGGATCGCCGCTGGGTTGGTCGGCGTGGCTTTCGTCCCTGCCGCGTCGGGAGCTTCGCGGCGGAGGAAGATGCCGGCGTCCGAGTCCATGGTTGTCTGGTTCGGCGGAACCGGCCGGTTGAGCTCCCAGATGATGATCGTCTCCGGATGGTCGAGGAGGTTTTCACCCACACCAGGGATGTTCTTCACCACAGGGATGGAGAGAGAGGACAATTCCTGAGCCGGGCCCAGGCCGGAAAGGAGCATGAGGCGCGGGGTGTCGACGGCGCCGGCGCAGAGGATGGTCTCAGTCCGCGCGGTGAGGGTTAGCTTCTGGCCTGATTGGAGTGTGATATTGACGCCTGTCACTGTGTCGTCGCGGACATTGATCTTGGAGACCCAGGCATTGGTCAGGATCTTGAGATTGGGCCTGTGCTCCTCGCCCCGGAGGATCGGGTGGATATAGGCCACACTGGCACTGGATCTCCGGCCGTCATCGGGATTGTAGCTGACGGAGAAAAAGCCCACACACTCTCTCAAGGCGCCCGTGCCCGCAATGTGTGCGTTGAAATCGTGGACGATGGGGATGTTCATGGCGGTGCTGCACGATTGGACCCAGTCTTTGCACAACTGATTCCGATGGCGTGCATGAACGGGTTGGACGGTGTTTCGAAGCTTGTTCAGCACGCGCATGAACATGGGAAAGGTCCAGCCTTTGGCGCCCATGGACTCCCAGATCTTGCAGTCATACTCAAACGGCCGGAAAGAGATGAGCGTGTTGTGGCTGGAGCAACCGCCCAGGACTTTGGCACGAGAATGTCTGATGTGGGAATTACCTGCGAATTCGGCAGTCAGATTTGGTGGAAGCTTGAGTCTCGTGAAATGATATCAAACCATCGACATACCCATCGGTTGCTCGGTTGTGCCATAGTCATAGTCGAGTTCTCCACCGAGAAGGCTGAGCCATTGTTTGAGATCCAAGACGCGGTCATCCATAAAGTCACTGGGACCGGCCTCTATCAACAGGATCTTTTTCTGAGGGAGGTATTCAGCCAGGCGGGATGCAATCACACAGCCCTGTTAGGTGGGAGACCCATTCAGCACACTCTTCATTCCATTGCTTCAAAGCACTTACAGCTGTGCCACCGCCCACAATGAGATAGTCATAGCTATCGACTTCGGACACGTCCAAATGGTTGGTTGTCATCTTGAGCCTTTGGGTGTAAATCTTTGGATATGAATGGGTGTTGGAGGTCGACGACGAAGGAATAGACGTCGAGGCTTTTTAAGGCACTCGGATCAGAATTCAAGACAACTTGGAAAAAAAGATCCGGGGGAGGCAGCGTGACCCACACAATCTATTGCGTAAGAAGTCCTTGTTAGTCGTGGGTATCGTATCAGTCCACTGTGATGGATGGGCTACGAGGATCACAATAGGGCTGGGCTTTGAGCATACGGCCTTTGTACCAAGTAATCCCCGGTTGGCCAGTCAGGCGACGGGGCTTTCCTGCAAGTTTACGCAGGACAAGTTGCACAGCATGTGGACCAGTCTTGTTGTATCATTTCTGGACTCGGCTAGCAAAGGACCCCTGCTGTGTGGAATCGGGGCAAAAAAGAAAAAGTCCTCTCGGATGGTGGCGGTGAAAAGAAAACGAGTGAAAAGCGTCAGAGCGTCAGGGTGGAGGCAAAAGCATCAAGTGAAGCACGGTTGATGTTGCCTGAAGAGGTAAAGAAGCTGATAAAGGACACCCTCTCGAGCACGATAGCGAAAAGGTTATCATTCTATCAACCAGACTCGTGCCCAGGGTGTTGGTTGGAGGTTTGAGGAGGTGAAAATCGATGCCTGCAAGGGGAAAAAAATCACGGGGGACCAGGCGAGGTTTGGGAGGGACATTGTAAGCGGTGGGCAGCCCGAAGCCACCGAATAGCCACCTAGAAGCCAGCGCCTAGCCACCTGTAGTTAGGTGATGATTAGAAAGTGAGGGCCCCAAAGCCGCAGCCTAAGCGGCCAGAGCAGCTGGAGATGCCGGAGATGACGGAAGAGTGAAAGGAAAAGGGCCACCTAGGGACTCACTAGGCTCACTACTACCTAGGCGGCGAGGCGCGCATGCTGGGGGCGTGGCCACTAGGCTAATCGCCTCAAGTGGTGACTTGCTGCCCCCGCCTCGCCGCAGCTGCTGCAGGGGCCATGCGGAGAAGGTACTACAAGGGAAAAAAAAACATCAAAGGCACCGAGACAGACCAACTGACAGACTGACGTCGAGGTCAGATAGAGACAGATCCAGACACCAGCTTGACACAACGGCCTCCTCGACCTCTACATCCCACAGTCACACATCCCATCTCACACCGCCAACAACTGAAGACTCTATTACCTCCCTTCCTCCGTCCCTGGCTTCAACATGAGACTTCCAGAGCGCCACACTTTCTACGCCGGAAAGCCTCAACCATCCTCATCTTCACCCAATACCTTCTCCTCGGTCGATCCCTCAACAGGCAAAAATGTCTGCACAATCCACACATCCTCCCAGTCCTCCATTGACTCGGCCATCTCGTCAGCAAAAGCAGCCTTCCCTTCATGGTCCAGCACCCCGCCAATCGAGCGAGCCCGAATCCTGCACAAAGCCGTCTCAATACTTCGGTCTCGGAACGACGAGCTCGCCAAAGTCGAAACCATAGACACCGGCAAGCCCTTCTCAGAGACATCCACTGTCGATATCGTCACCGGCGCCGATGTCCTCGAGTATTTTGCCAACCTGGTCGCATCAGGCGGCTTGAACGGCGAATCGTTCCGCCTCCGAGATTCTGCTTGGGTCTACACTTCCAAAGAACCGCTCGGCGTCTGCGTCGGTATCGGGGCCTGGAACTACCCAATTCAGATTGCGCTGTGGAAATCAGCTCCGTGTCTCGCCGCCGGGAACACGATGGTGTACAAGCCTTCGGAGGTGACACCACTGCATGGTCAATTCCTCGCCGAGGTCTACAAAGAAGCCGGCCTCCCTGACGGAGTATTCAACGTCGTCTATGGGGCGGGTGAAGTGGGCGCCTACTTGACGAAACACCCGGTCGTTGCCAAGGTTAGTTTCACAGGGCAGGTCTCAACTGGTCGCAAGGTTGCTGGTTCAGCCGCGGGAGAGATGAAGTACGTGACCATGGAACTGGGCGGGAAAAGCCCTGTCATCGTGCTACCAGATGCGGACGTCGAGCAGGCGGTGGACGGTGCCATCATGGCCAACTTCTTCAGTACAGGCCAGGTCTGCACAAACGGGACGCGGGTGTTCGTTCCAAAGCGCCTGAAGCCCGAGTTTGAACGAGTGTTGCTGCAGAAGATGAAATATGTCCGCCCAGGAGAGCTGATGGACATGAAAACCAACTTTGGCCCGCTGGTCAGCAAGGTTCACTATGACAAGGTGACAAGCTACATCAAGCATGGCATCCAGGTGGACAAGGCGAAGCTGCTGCACGGCGGCCTCGATCAGCCCTCACACCTCCCCCCACACCTGAGGAGCGGGTACTGGGTCCGACCGACCATCTTCACCGACTGCACCGACGACATGAGGATCGTCAAGGAAGAGATCTTTGGCCCTGTCATGACCATCCTGACCTACGACTCCCTCAACGAGGCGGTCGCGCGGGCAAACGACACGGAACTCGGCCTCGCCGCGGGCGTGTTTGGCAGAGACATCAACCAGTGCCACGCCGTGATCAAGCAGCTGCAGGCCGGTATCACTTGGGTGAACACCTGGGGAGAATCGCCCGCTGAGATGGCCGTCGGCGGCTGGAAGCAGAGCGGTGTCGGAGTCGAGAATGGACGGAGAGGCCTGGAGGCGTGGGTGCGCAACAAGAGCACGCTGGTGGAAATGGGAGGCAGCGTCCCGACTGTCTTTGCCAAACTATAATAATGACGATGCCTGGTAGTAGTTACATACGACTCCTGTTGAATAATGTACTGGAAGCGACGATTTACGATACTGCGCTTCAAATCCTGATTTCCATCACAAATATATATCCAAACATGTCATTCGGCGCCGTCACCCGAGCTTGTGCCGTGTAGAAGGAAATTTTAATCCGCCTGATTCTTTGCTTGCTGAACAAACACGAAGCCCAACCCCGAAAGACGCCCTCGCCGCCTACAAGTACCAGAACTAGGACATCAGAAGCGTATCCACAAAAAAATAACCTCTAGATTAACAGAGAGAGACCACAAGAATTTCTCGGACCTTCAACCACAGCCATCGCAATCGCAATCACCACTCATACAAGCAGTGGCACGGGAGGAAACATCTGCAAATGTCCCAATGATTCGAGCGTAAAGGAACATCACATCCATTCGGCCCGCTTCACGCCGCAAAAGTCGAAACCCGCGATCCCATGCGGTCAAACATGAAATCGCCCATCTTCTTGTCGTTCATGGCGATCGCCGAGTCTACCAGCCTCGACGACATGCTGTCCGGTGTCAATTCCCCATCCTCTTGATCCAGCAGCTCTTTCTTCTCGGTGTCGATTCTTAGGTCCTTCAGGCCCGCCCGCCAGTTGTCCAGCCGGACCTGCGACCGCTGTTGAGGAGTGGCTTTGGCGGTCTCCTGTTCTGCCGAGACTTGTTCGATGCTCTTGAAGTACTGTCGCAGAGAAAGATTAGTCGGCGCGTTTCTGTGTTGCGTATGGGATCACAGGCTTACCTTGACCGTCTTCACCAGCATTTCGTCCGTAGCGGCATCGTCGCAGACGATCATCGCATTCTCGTGCATCTGCAGTGCACTGCAGGTCCACATCTGACTGACACCCCCCTCGATCGTTTTAGCCAGAGCGACCGCCTTGTTGGAACCTAGGACGATGACCAGCACCTCCCTGGCATCCATAACAGTGCCCACACCCACAGTCAATGCTTGTTTGGGGACTTGACTGAGATCGCCGCCAAAGAACCGCGAATTGGCCCGGATTGTGTCTTCTGCCAACGTCTTGACTCTGGTCCTTGAGCGCAGGGAAGAACCTGGCTCGTTGAATGCAATGTGTCCATCTGGTCCAATGCCTCCCAGGAACAGGTCGATTCCGCCAGCACGCGCAATTTTTTCTTCGTAGGCGGCACATTCGACTCTGAGGTCGGGGGCATTGCCGTTGAGAATATTGACGTTTTCAGGGTTGATGTCGACGTGAGCGAAAAAGTGCTTGTACATGAAGCTGTGGTAGGATTCGGGATGGTCTTCGGGCAGACCCACGTATTCGTCCATGTTGAAAGTCACGACATTGGCGAACGACACCTCACCGGCCTTGTGCGCCTCTACCAAGTATTTGTAAATGATCTCCGGGCTGCTGCCTGTGGGGAGTCCGAGGACAAAGGGCTTTTCGGGAGTCGGCGCGAAGGCATTGATGCGGTTGATGATGTATCGGGCTGCATACTTGGATGCACCGTCCTTGTCGTCACGGATGATGACCTTCATTTTGGAGGTAGGCTGTCTTCAAAAGTCCGCGAGGGAAGAGGAAAGTCTACTGGTGACAGCACAACAGTCGCGGAAGCGGGGGGATGAGAATAAAAGAGATCAGCGACAAACCGTTGACGTAGCCGGCAGCACAACCTTTAGCCAGGCCATCATGAGAGGGATTACATATGTAGGGGCCAGAATGCGGAGAATAAGGCACTGGTGACACAGAGAAGAGATTTTTTTTACTGAAGGCAGCGCAGGGACAGGTAACCAGCGCAAGGTCGAGGGGCAGGTTGGTGGTGCAACAGTTGCAATATTGTCATCCAACCAACGGAGCACCCACTGCCGTCGGGAGACGACCGGAATGCTGGAGCAAAGAAGATTGGGCATGTTATCAGCGGGACGAGCAGGAAGCAGCCGATGAAGTCAGCGAGATAGGACCGCCGTCGCAGCCAATCCACCGCAGGGAGATGGAAGAAGGTGGTGGTGGTGGGTGGAAGAGAAGCGCAGGCGGAGGATGGAGGATGGAGGGGAGGGGCGCAAACAGGGCAAACATTTCTCGCACATCCGTCCACGTGACTGGCGCCAGTGTAACCGTCTCGTCCGCAGCTTCGGTGGCATCCCATCAGGTGGCATCCAGATTCATCCCTCTGCGCACCCCATTTCCCTCTCATCTCCCCCAACCACCACCATTACATTCTCCTCCGCCCAGGACGCGACGTTGCGACACTTCCCATCTCAAAATGCAACATCACCTTTGTCCGCTCCCACGTTTCCCAGTGCTTCACCCACAGCTTCTCTGATGCCACGCGCACCTCGTCATCCGCGGCTTTTCACTGGTCCGTGCTCGTCTTTGTGCCTGTGTCGAGGTCTGGTCTGCCAGTGCTCGGCTCCTGACACCGACTCCTGACCCGACCCCCCCGAACTCTCTGCTCCTGCTCCATTTCCTCTCTTGTCCGGACTGCCCAGCCTGCTCACCTGTCCATCCAATCGCGGTGCATGTGGGGAACTAGTCCCTTCCTCTCATCATGGCTGTGGCCACTACCAATGGGGATTTGCCCGGCCTGTGGGACGAATCGAGGTATGTCGATGCCGTCATCCTGAGCACTTGCGACGCGGACAGAACTAACTATATATCTGGCAGACAGCTCGGCCAGCTGTTTATGATGGGCTTTGATGGCACCTCCGTCACCGATCAGGTCAAGGTCTTGATTGAGAAGTATCACGTAGGCTCCATATTGCTCAAGGCCCAAAACCTCAAATGTGCCGTCTCCTGTCCTCGTGCGCGCTCGTCTAACTTACTGACACCGTGATTTTAAACAGCTGCTCAACAGGCGACCCAGCTCGTGCTTGATCTTCAGACTCTAGCCCGCCAGGCCGGCCATCCGGTTCCCCTCTTGATTGCTCTCGATCAGGAAAATGGCGGCGTCAATAGTCTGTACGATGAGGTCTACATTCGTCAGTTTCCCAGTGCCATGGGCTTGGCTGCCACCGGCTCGAAGAAATTGGCAAAGGATATTGCCCGAGCGACAGCTCAAGAGTTGAATTCGTGTGGGATCAATTGGATCCTCGGCCCAGTGCTGGATGTCCTGACCAACGCCAGAAATCAGCCTCTTGGTGTTCGATCCGTAGGCGATGATCCTCATGAAGTCTCAGCATATGGCGTGGAATGCATCAAAGGTTACCAAGAAGGTGGAGTTGCGACCTGTGGCAAGCATTTCCCTTCTTATGGCAATCTGGAATTCTTTGGCGTCCCAGATGATGTGCCCACCATCACAGACTCGTTGGAGAACCTGAGCCAGAGTGCGTTGGTCCCCTTCCGTGCGGCGATTGCCCATGGTGTCGATTCAATGATGGTCGGCGGCGTTGCTATGGCGTCTTCTCAAGTCAATGTAATGCACGCCTGTCTTTCGGAGCAGATCGTTCGAGATCTGCTGCGGCACGAAATGCGCTTTGAGGGTGTGGTCGTCTCAGAGTGTCTGGAAATGGAGGCTCTAAGCCGCAACATCGGCATCAGTGGCGGGACAGTCATGGCCTTCAAGGCCGGCTGTGATTTGATCCTGACTTGCCGAACTTTGTCAGTCCAAGAAGACGCCATCAATGGCCTAACGGCGGGATTGGACAACGGCATGATTGAAAGATACCGAGTGCAAGAGTCAGTGCAGAGAATACTCAACATGAAGAAAAAGTATACGTCCTGGGAAAGGGCGTTTGCGCCGGCGGGAATTGAGAACCTCTCACGATTGCAGCCCCTTCACACCAGCCTCTCAACTACCGCTTATAACAAATCAATTACCGTGGTTCGAGACCAGAAACATTATCTGCCCCTGTCGAGAGTCATTAAACCCGACGAAGAGCTTCTCCTTCTGACGCCCTTGGTCAAACCATTACCCGCATCCGCTCTATTCCATCTCTTGCAAAATGAGGCGTCGACAGTCCCCCATTTAGGGCGAAGTCCTAGCATCGATACGAATACGTCGATCATGAGTGGAGAGCAAGTCTTCCGAGAACTTGGTCGAATGCTCGCCCGGTATCGCAACGGCAAAATCTCTCACACCTCATATACTGCAAATGGAGTGAGACCTCTCCATGAGAACCTCTTGAACCGGGCTCGGGGAGTCGTGGTCGTTACGGCTGATGCAGGGCGAAATATGTACCAAAATGCATTTGCAAAACATATCTCCATGTTGTGCAAGCTGTCGGTCGGAGTGGATGGCACTCCACGAGAAAAGCCATGTGTTGTGGTTGCCGTCAGCTCACCCTTCGACTTTGCCTCGGACACATCGATCGGAACGTATATTTGCACCTATGATTTCACCGAGACTGCCCTGCAGGCATTGGTCCAAGTACTTTATGGTGAGCTTACCCCGTCGGGAGTGTTGCCGGGCTCATTTAGCCAGAAGCCTCAGACTAGTCACACCAGACAGCAGTGGCTTGTGGAGAGCTTCAGCGAAGATCGAGACTCAGCGGCATTAGACGCGCTTCTTCTTCAAACCCAGAATGAGCCTTCAGTGCACGCAGCAACGCTGAAAAACGCCCTGAGCAGCACTTTTCTGCTTCGTGATCCGGATGTGGAAGAGGCGCATTTTGTGGTCAGGAATAGCAGCACAAAAGAGTTGTTTGGGTTTTGCACCACATATTATTTCAAGAACAGCGGCGTCGGGCATATCGGCGCCATCATTGTGGACCCTGCGCGCCGTCGCTTATCTATCGGGCACTCTTTACACGACCGCGCCGTGCGGGCATTACTTCAGAAGAAAGGTATCACCAAATTCCAGCTTGGTGTCAGGTTTCCGCATGTGTATCTGGGGATCCCCAGACTGGACCCAATGGAATACAAACGCCTGCGCCAATGGTTTGCCAAACTCGGGTGGAACGTTTCGCTTTCGACACCCGTGGCCACCATGCTGATTCGCGACCTGTCAACATGGATAGCTCCTGAAGGACTAGCCCAGGCCCTGACGAATCCCGAGGTGAAATATGATCTGGTCCACGGAGCCGAGTACACCGAAGTGATGATGGAACATCTCAAAAGATGTGCGCGGACGGATGTACGAGGCGTTTATCAAATGGCTCTGGGCAACAAAGAAGGCTGCCGCATCATTCGAGCCAAAAGGGCTTCTGATCAGTCCATTCTAGGAAGCATTCTGATGTGCCGAGCCGAGTCGAAGATCGCCCGCCATATTCCGTCGCTGTACAAACAAGTTGGAACGGCGTGCTTGTCATCCCCAGTTATCTCGACCCTGTACAGCGACCGTGTCTCACTTTTCCAAGGCCTGGTCCTCCTGGGAATACGCCAGGTCAAGAAGCAAGGCTTGCGGACACTGCTCCTGGATTATGTAAGTTGCGAAACCGTCTCTGTGCCGGAAGATGTTAAAGACTGATCTTTATCCCTTCTGTAGACCCGCGAAGACGTTTCAATGAACGGCCTCAAGGCATTGGGCTTTACAATCAGCAACAGTTTCGAAGAGATCTCGAGCGATCCGGTTCACTGGACAATGATGTCCGCAACATGAATGGCAGGATCGAACAGGACCACACAGTCACGTTTTACAGTAGCATCGAGGTGCCCCCTACGCACAATCGCAAGCGATGCTGAGGCGGCTTAGCCAGGCGCGTCCACCATTGACAGCGCTTGGCACAAAAGCAATTGCAACTGCCGTCGCCTAGTCTCACCGCTGCCGCAAGGATGTCTGAATCCGGTCGATGGGTCGATCATTCGATGTAAGCCTTTCCCGATAGCATACCCCTAGTCGAGTTGTTTGGCGGACCTTTTGACAATATTTGCAGCACATGTCGGCGACAGGAGAAAATGAAGTTAAGCGCCGACCCACTCAATGGCGATCCTCATCTTACTCCCCTCCAGCCCTGAGCGGCGAGGCCCTCTCAAAAGTCGGCAGCCGGCCGTTGTCTCTCCACAACTATACCACAGAGTTGTCTATCTGCTGATGCTGTCGTGGGAGCGGACGCCGAGGCTGTCGACTGGAAGCTCGCGTAATCTCTGCCGCGATTTGGTAGAAGATCAGGGGACGCTCATTGGGCGAAAGCGGACATTGGATGGCGCGCACTGGCCTGGGGCAAATTAGTGCGAAATGGCCGGAGGGGCTAGCTGCCCTGGAGCAATACGGAGAGCACGGAGCAGATCGTATTAGGAAGATAGAGTGAGTTTCTGGAAAAGGAAGCCTTAGGGCACAGCAGTTGCTAGACGAAGTCAATCCCTGACAGGTACACTCTGTGCCAGCGGAATTTCGGACTGGTTAGTGTCCATGATTCCAGCCAAGCGGACTCAGGCTTGCTCGGTGTCTCACACGATCCACTAAGGCAGGTGGTCGTTTAGAGCGAAAACGTCATGGGACCTTGGAGGGGGTGTGTGTCTGGCTTTCGTCTTATATTTTCCGAGCCGCTTCTCTTTCGCCCACAGTGTTTTGTTCTCCGATCTGACCGCCGGAAGTGCAGTTCGGTGCCTGGATAGGTAGCGTTGTCGACCAGCGTCAGCTCGCAGGGCAGGGTACGCTTCGCGCGAGTGATGCGAGGCTGCTCGGTAGGGCAGGGCAGGGCAACGCAAACCGGGCTCGGTCGCACAGAGTTGCTTCTTGAAGGCAGTGGTCACCATGGTCAGAAGTCTAAGATCAGCCGTAGCTCTGCATGATTAGGGCATGATGCGCCATCAGGGCCCTCACCGTCGCATTGTGTGGCTATCCCCCAACGGGCAAGCGGATGCGCCAGAAGGCAACGAGCAAACCACTCTCATGCATGTCAGGCTCTCGGGCGTCTCGGGCGCAGCGATGATCAGCGATTGACAAGACGGGAGGAATCAAACTAGTTTGAGGGTAGAGAGGTGGTGAAAACCTGCGACTGGCTGGGAGGAAGAGGTGTTCCCGCAAGAGGACAGAGCGGCAGTCTGACTGGACTATCCGCCCATCACTGACTGCACATGATTTGGGGGCAGCTAGAGAGGATGCGGCTAATCGGAAGACTAAAGGACAAGAAGCCCTTCCAAGTGTTTTCCATGGGTGCTTCGATGCATGAGGGGCTGACGTAGAGTGATTCAATCGCTTGGGATGGTCAGAAGGGCCGAAACCTAGAGAGATCCTGAACACGAACAGACCACAGACACCCTCATTTTGCCTTCTGACGGTGGCCGAAGGTTGAGAGAGAGTCGAGTGGTTCGGAGGGAGCGAGCTGTCAGTTTGAGAGTACCTAGCTGTTTGGGTGTGGCTAGGGTACCCAGGGCCCCTACGAGCTGGACATCCAGCTGCCAGGCATACCTAGGGTACCCAGAGCACCCCCACCGAGTTGCATTTTCCAGGTAAGAGGCCCGGGTCAATGACGGAGCAAAGGCTTGAGATGATAAAGGAAGACCCCACCCAACTAAGCCTGTTTCCCCCCAAGTTCCCCCCCCCCTTAGCGCCCTGCCTGGCTTGCCCCCATTTCCTTCTAGAAGGCTCAAGTTTTGCCTTCTCCCGAACCAGCCACCGGCGCAAACTGTCTGGCACAGTGCCCACCCGTAGGCACTGGGGGGGAGATGCGAGGGGTGCGTTCTCTGCCTATCTCACTCACTCATTACACCTCCAAGAACAAACAAAGCACCACCAGCAGTTCGACTCGCCTGCACCTCCCAGAAGCCTAAATGCTGCAACTGGCCACGCAGTCAAATCACCTTCAACGTCCACCCATCTCTGTTCGTATTTGGACCTCCGGCGAGCCTTTTTTCTGAAATCGAGTTTCCCAATTCCCTGAGCTCATTTACCGCTGAGATTTGCCCCAATCTCATAATCCTCGAGTCGTTTGTCGTCACTGCCAAGCTGCGGAATCGACCTGGCAGACTGCCTCAGCTCCTACAGGGCCCTGCCTGCACAAGCAGCAACAAAAGCCCACCCGGCTACAGTGCCCGCTTCCTGCTTCCTACTTCCCGTCTCCCTTCAAAGTTGGAGCGAAGGTCGAAACGACTCGTCGACAAGAAACACCACTGGGGAGCAAACTGCCCGCTGCTTAGACTGGCTCATTCGCTGATTAACAAACCACAACCCGAGTCCGGGGCGGCTCATCGATATTCCAATTTTCGGCCCTCTTCGACGGTGGCGCTTTCGTGAGCATTATCTTGCTCTCGAGGATGCCGACGAGAATTTTCCTCTCTCTTCAATAACAATTTATCTCTTTCCAAAGCTCCGTGGCTCGTGTTTGTGCGGCCCTCGCTACCTGACCTCCAACTCCGCATCCCACCCTCTCTGCCCTCGCGCCCGCAGCCAAACACGCACGTACACAAACGCATGGCCGCCACCATGGATGGCTATGATCCCCTCGCAATGCCTTACTTGCACAGTCCAATGCCCTTTGGGGGCGGTAATCTGCAAAATCTCGACTACATGAGTGTGCCGTCGGTGATGGATTTGCAAGATCAATACTCCAACTTCGACTCGGAGCCATATATGAGGTAATGTTGTTCGGTCAAGCTCGACTGCTCCCATTGCGGTGAAGAAAAAACCTAACATGTCCCAGTGGCGACGAGCTCAGTTTTGCGCCCTCGAGTAACCTGCAGCACCCTGCAATGCTGAAGCGATACTCTTCCAACTTCGAAGATCCTTTCGCCGAAAGCACAATGTCTCAGTTCGAGCGGGTGCCCACCGAGGGATTGCCCGAGAGTCCCTCGATTGATCGCGACAGCAAATACCTCAGTTTTTCCATGCCGCAGTACAACTTCACCCTACTGGACGACTCATTCCGTCGGTCGTCGGTCAACATCAGTGCCCAGCTGCACGGCATGTTCTTCTTGGCCGAGTCCCAATGGCCCGCCACGGCCGACACACCTCCCCCTCCCCCAGAACTAACATGTTACCGGCGCAATCTGTTCCAAATCACCGGCTCGGTGACGCTCCCCCGGAATCTGAGATATGTCTTCACCGATGACGGGTCTAGAATCCCCATATACGAGTTGGAACTGGCTGTGTCAGCTACCGAATCCGTTGAAGGCAATTCGGTCAAGATAATTTCAGTGCCGTGGAAGACGCCGGCGTCGGGAGAAGTGCCCAAGCCAGAGGATAAGGTAGAGAAAGAGCCTCCCACGATTCCCTTGGACAAGATGACCGGGCAAGATCTGGACACGGACTTTACCACCTTTCCCATTCAATGGAAAAGGCTGCAATTCCGGATAGCAACTGCCAACAATGGTCGACGGAAAGAGCTGCAACAACATTTCACGCTCCACTTGAAGATCATGGCATCGTTATCAACAGGCGGCAAGATCTCCATCGCCGAAGCTCACTCGGGAGCTGTCATTGTCCGAGGCCGAAGCCCTCGCAACTTTGCAGCACGGAAAGACTTGCCTCTCAGCAGCAGTTCGACAGCTCGTAAACACCTGCCGGCAACCTCGCGAGTTACCAACAGTCAAACCTCCGTTCCTCAGGTCACTTCGGCCCCCAAAATCAAGACGCCGGCCGAGGAGACACCACAGATGACCGGTTACGACAGCATTGACATGAAGCCCACCGATATCGACGGCACCAACTGGGTGTCACAAGGTGTCCAAGATCCTCTTGCCACTCCCTACTCCACTGCCATCAATCCTCCAGTACCAGCGTTTCCGGAAGGCGCCGCTGACTTGGGAACGCCGGGCGCGTTCCCATTCACATTCCCTCAAGAAATGGCACCTGGGAGCCGGCCGATGAGCTTACATTTCGGCAGTGACGATGAGGGAGGTAGTCCTCATCCACCACGACAGGGATCCCGACATTCGTCACGGCCTCCCACCTCGAATCCCTCTCCCTCTCTTGTCAACAAAGGCCCGTCAGGGACGTATACAAGCAATCCCGGTACTTCGCCTGGACAGCTTGCCAACCAAGCGGGTCCGCGACCTAGAATACATTCCCACCAAGTTTCTATGACCAGTGTTCCGAGCTCGATAGCTACAATGAACGGGCAAGGACCGTTGCCGCCAGGGTCTCAGAGACCAGAGCTGCTGGCGACCAGGTCAGGCCTTCCATTCAATGCTGAGGGCGAGAGTGCAGATCAACTCTACGAATACTTCCCCCTAGGTCTGGACGACTGGATGCCACCCGTGGATGCAGTCTTCCGCCCGCACGTAGTGCACCACAGCGGACCGTTACCCCCTGACCCACGTTCCCCTGGGAGACACACGAGCAAACGCTACTTTTCAGAAGTGGTGTAGATGGGAACTGTGGCTAGAATGTCACTTGATGTTTTTTCTTTGTTATGATTTGTTTCAGAACCTCTGGGAGAAGCATGGCGGCTGAACTGGGCCCAAGAGGTTACGCGAGCTACATAGGACTTGTTTGATACCCATCTCTGATGTGAAATGAAAAGTGGACATATACCAGAAGACAAAACGGCATGCATGGATACACGAGTTACGACTACGAGATACGGGCTTCCGAAACATGGGGGGAGAGACTTGAAACTCAAATTTCGACTTTGTCTGGTTTGTGGCACCTCATGAAAGGGACCCGGTGTTTTGAGCAGACATGGTATATACGAACGGATATAGCTCCCACCGCCTTCTTCCTTGATTGGCGATCAGCCACCTTGGGCATTGATTGCTGCATTATTGCCAGCGGATATGCTACCTCGGAGAGGCTGAACCAAAAAGAAATTCCAACCAGGCATCCAACACAAGGTCCCCATCATCCGCGTCCGCGTTGAAAACCCCCGACCCTCGCTGTGTGAGGGCCCGAGATACAGAACTTGGCTTGTTGGCGCACGACTCGAGTTTGCCCCGACCGACGCAGCCTTTCTGGAAAATGCGCCCCCAGTGAAAGGAGGTAGGGTATGCAGGTGGTCAGCGGACTGGGGAAGCTGGACCTATCAAGTACGACTTTCGGCGAGGCCCGACATCCTTGCCATGTTCTGTGATTCGCTTCTGGCACGAGACTAATGCAGAATGACGAGTGCCGTGGCTCGATCGCGCTGTGTCTGCCTCGCCTTTGTTGTTTGCTCCTTTGTTCTTTTTGCCCAAGTTTGGCGTTTGGCGTCGGATCGACAATGACTAGTTAGTTACATGGGTGAATTCGATTTCAAGCTAAATCCGGCCCGGGAGCCGAGGAGGAAGGCCAAGTCAAGATTTGAGAAAGATCTGGAAAGGGTTACACAGGTGGCAAAAGAGGGGAGAGGAGTTGAAAAAAAAAGCAAGGAAATGCCCCATATGTGGTGAGGCAAATTAGGCAGGTGGCTACGATATATTGGTTTCTGGACCGCCACAGACGCCATGGGTGGGCTTGGGTGGAAAGGTTGACAACTGGACCAAAAGAGAGCGGTGTGAAAGGGTGAAAGCAAAAGGAAGCGAGAATGAGGCGCGGAAGTCAGTAGCGACGGAGCATCACTACCGAGTAGGTCGATGAGGCGCTGAGCCCTTGAACCTTGAACCATGATCGCTTGAATAAAGAAAACGGAGCTTTTGGAGCGGACAAAGTTCCAGATCGAGTGAGGCGGTTATTGTCGGGAGTGGAGGGGCGCCACAGGGGGTTGGGAAGATGGGAAAAAGCATGAGACAGTGGGAAATTGATAGACCACCTTGAGGGGCTGGGAGAAGAAAGGTGATGTGCGTGCAAAAGAACAGGACTGAGTCTGTCTGTGTGAGTGCAGGTGCTTCTCCGTACCCAGCCACCTGGATTTAACTGTGTGGCATGATGGAGGTGTGAATAGTAAGGCTGAATATTTACACGGAGGAGGCGGCGGCATAGTGACTATGTGTATATACGCAAGTGGGGAATTATTCTGTCTGACAGGTGATGCGGATACTTATCCAGAGTGTGAAGCTAGCTGAAAGTGACGAGAAAACCATTTTGTCAGACTGATTTATACTAGCTTTTGATGCTCCATCTGCCTAATTAGGACTAGCGACTACCTAACCTTTCTATCCTCCACGCTGCTGCCACGCAACTTATGGTTCTCATTTACTTTCTGTGCCATGAATCATGGGATCTCCCTCAATACAGGCACGGGGAAACCCAAATTCTTGACACTAATAAAGTACTCTGTACAGCTGGCGCGGAGGACATACATATATACCAGCGTGCCACCCTATTCCCCACCCAGTTTGGTAACAGTCTCCTATCCTCTCCCAAGTCCTAGTAAGTATGCAGATGTTCACTCATCGGAGAACCATGTGCCGCGCCCCTATGGGAGTTCCCTAGTGATGTACATGCACAAAGGGAGCAAAGTATTCGCCGGTAGGGAGACCTTGCACGACTTTCTCGTGACAGAATGGGTGAATTTCGGCTACAAGTTGCCTCTGCTCGCTATAGTTGCCTCCCCTGAACTCTACGGCGACAATGACGTCGGTCTAATTTCGCGCTGCCGCAGTCAAACAAACAATGAATGGCAGTGGAGATTCCAACACAATAGTGTTCACGCCGCTGTCTTTGCGACGGACACAACCACGACGGCAAATCTGTCTTGGGCTCTTCGATGTGGGCTATGCGGACGAATATGTGGTGCTCTACTCCTCGGACTCTTAACGTGAAGACGACGAATGGCCCAGCCACACCATAGACAGACTCAAGGAGTCAAGCCGCGTTATTCACCCGCTCGGACAAATCCCCCGGCTGGAAACACATAGGTGACCTCCAGATCGGGCGTTTTCATGCGCTCGAGGGGTTAGTCGAAGTGCGGCAGGGCGATATGGGCAGACATCCGCTGTCGGTAAGTCTCATGGCCTGAGATGCTCAGCAAGGACGGACGTGGAGCTGACCGTGAACGCTCTAGGCAAGAGTCCTCTGCCGCCGAGACTTTGCGCATGGGTATACTATGGAATTCAAAGAGGTGGTTCACAGCGTTACCGGCGGGGAGATCACATACCCAACGGCCCAAAGAGCTCAGACTATTTCCTTTCGTGTGGGCGAGGACACTCACCAGTTTGGGGGACTGGGAGCTCTCTGGAACGGGAAAGCATCGCGTTAGATCCAGCGACCGGCGCCCTGCTGACACCGCCTGATTTCGGCCTCGGTGGGTTGTGCTAACTATACTTCTCTCGATATGCACTTGCAAAGACCCTCGCTCCTCAGCACCCTTGCGCCGATCAGGGACTTGCCAGAGCCGCTGTACCCTCCACCGCGCGACCGAATCACACTCGGAACCCGAGCGCTAAGTACCCGCGAATCAGTCTAGCGAGCAGTGGACGCCGAAGACCGTCGCTTCGAGGCAGATATCTCGAGGACAGGATCCGGCAGAGGAGAAGGAAGAAGACGAGGAATAACCTCCAAAGGAAGAAAGACCAGCGTCGAATGCATGTCCGTCTCTCGAGGGCCTTGCGAGGACCGGAGCTGTCGTTGGGCGACCGAACCGCGGACAAATGTCATGGATTGGAAATAGTGTCGTCAATGAAACGATACCATTCCTTGTATGTGGTCTTGTTCTGGATGCGGGCTGGTCGCAGTCAGGCACGAAAGATGTGAACTGCGGCACGAAGCGTGAGCGTGTGCCCTTCTCCTACACCCAGTGTTGGGATACGAGACGCCTTTCGACCACGCATCACGCATTGCGCATCACGCCCGCGAAGTGGAGATGGGGGTGGTTCACGGGCACACACAAGGGGTAGTACAAGACCAAGACATGAAGACATTCCATTGTTCCATCCGTCGTAAGAAGGGGTCCCCCACGATGATGGGTGACCCGCTATTACTATACATGTATCTCTTGTGATACGAGCATACAATGATAATGATGATGATAAAGAAAGAGAGAGACCACACGGTACACGTCCGATTGATCCCATCCATCCCGGACGCCGAAGCCGAAGAAGTCGATGTATCCTCCCTCGCCAAAATGACACAAAGGAGACAAGAAACCCGAAATAATGGAGGAACATCGTGCTCGAGCTAGTGCATGCATCGGGCGCAGATTGGGTGGTGGAGGGTGTGTCGACATTCGGGGGTCAGGCGCAGGAAACGGGGCGGAGCATGGTCGTCGAAAGCGGCGCCGACCTGGACGAGGTTTTGGCTGGCGGTGGTGCTCTGCTGCTGCTGCTGCTGCTGCTGCTGGTGGCCCTGCAGCGCAAAGAACGATTCATACTGGCTCGACAGGGTAGACCGGTCGGCGACGCTGGAGCCAGGCCCGCGAGCCAGGGTCGAGTCGTCGGCCAGGCCCGGGATGAACATGCCAGACGAGTCTTCTCCAAAGGACATGTGGTCGAGGCTGTCGGCTCTCTCGAGGAAGGAGAACCACGGATGAGGGTCGTCGTCGTCCGTCTCCGCGGCGGCGTGCTGGGCGCCGTCGGGGGTCACGGCGGCCGCAGGTTGACGATGATGTCCGTCCAGCGGGGCCGGCACCTCGAAGCTGTTGTTGAAGCTTCCATTGCTCAAGGTGTGGGAGGACTGGAAGGACGAAGGAGAGTCGAAGCTCAAGCTCGAGACGTGGTCCGGGCGGCGAATGCCTGGCGCGGGCATGTTACTTTGATGACCTCCCTGGCCTCCGTAGGCCTCGCGGTTCGATTCGTCCTTCTTGAAGTGCGTCAGTCGACACCAGCATGCCGCACACCCACAGCCGCAGCAGTGATGGCCGCCGGCGGAGGAGCAGTCCCCGGGTGGTGTCTCGTTGGTATCGCCAGACGAGAAGGATTCAATGGGCGCGGCGGGGTTGAGGCGCCGAGAAAGGTGACGAGCCATTGAGGCGGTAGAAGTATGAAATCGACCCCTGCAGTGCGTGGGGGTGCATGCGAGGGATGCGAGGGCTGTTTTTGCCCGGTCGGTATACGAGTACAAGTGGAATTGAGACAAAAAGGTGGTTCAGACAGCCGACCCAAAGGAGAAACCGTGGGAAATCTTTTTTGTTCTTTTCTTTTCTTTTCTTTCAGAGCAAGGATAGTGATGGCACAGAGCAAAAGGCAGACAAGAACTGGTAGAGGGAAAAAGCAAACCCAGGAAAGGTCGGATCAAGGGAGGCAGATATATAGCAATCGAGGCACCGAGGGGATGAGCAGTCGACACAAGGCGGAATCAGGATCAGGTCAGTCAGTCAGTCATGTGAAAGCGGCCTGGAAGCCTGAACACGAAGCGTCACTCAGGAAGATGCACGAACGACCAGATGGAGTTCGGCTGGTTGCTCCTCAGCCTCGCGGGTTGATTTCAAACCGAGGATATGGCCGGTCCATTTGGACGGGGGGGTCGATGCACGGGCAGGATTCGATTGGTGATAGATAGAGCAAACCTTGGGAGATGCGGATACAATTGAAGAAGCATGGAGCAGGGTCGCTGGGCCGAGTCAGGCGTCGTCACAAGATCAAGAGGTTCGAAAAGGAAAGGGTACACGACAAGGGATACGAACGAATGGGCAGGTCGTGGGCTACATGTAAGGCGCCAACCTCCGCCCAAGAATGGGCTCCCGACTGCGGTTTGCAACGGATGCTGGAGGAGATGGGCATGAAGGAACAAGAGACCATGCAGCGTGCCGTGGGCGCTAGTCGAGATATCAAACAAGCAAACAGACTCGAAGCATTGACGTCCCCCCTCGTTCATCGCTTCGGCGGTTTCCTTTGGTCCTCATCCTCCATGCATTCCCCGAGATAGTTCACCAATCCTTGCACGCCGTTTCGCAACCGGTGGGTGGACTACATCGGTACCTAAGAAAAGACCATGGGGGCTTGGACTGCTGTAGCTAAGCGAACGCAGCTTGAGCTTTAACCATTAACTACCATGCCAAAGCTTCTCCTCCACCGCCAACATGTGCTCGCTCATCAATCAACCCCCCCAGTTGTCTCGCAGGCGATGCTTCGGCCGTTGCCTGTTTCCAAATGTCCTTCCCGTACACCTTGTACATCTCCTGCAAGCCCTTGTTAACGGTAAGCTGATACTCGATATCCGTCAAGACGAATGGAAATTCCGTGCCCGACACCTTGACCACCCGACTTTGGATGTCCACCTCGATCGACTCGTTGTCCTTTGCCAGCGCGTAAAACCTGTCGTCCGCGAGAGTGATTCCGAGCAGCCCAAGAGAGGGCTGGTTGCGCCCATAGATGAAGCTGAAGGATCTGGCAATGACCGCCTGCACTCCCAGCCCTCCATGGCGTTAGTTTTGCAGAGTCTTCATGAAGAGGTGACAATACCTTTCAACGCCCTCACTGCCTGTTCCCTGGACGAGCCGCAGCCAAACGCGTGCCCCCCAACCACCACTTGCTGCCCGCCGCGAACCCGGTCTCGAAATTCTGGGTAGGTGTGCTCCATGCAGTGATCTCCAAGCTCCTCGTCGTCCTGGGCGCTCATCAGGTACTCGGCTGGTGCTAGCTTTACATCTCGTCAGCCCTTGACGTACTCACAAAGTCTTGAGCATACCGCGTCAGTGTCCACAAAATCCCCCAGCCGGATGATGCGGCTTTTGACAGCGTCGGTCCGCCTTTCAGCCCCGTCTTCTGAATTGGCCGCTGGACTTGCACACGAGCTTGCGGCATCTTCTTGACTGCCAACAAAGGGTTCTTGGTACTTGACACTTAGAAACCCCATTCCCTCTACATGTTGAAGATCCTCCTGATCCATGCCACGCTTAATGTCGTCCAGGAGAGGTGCCGGGTCCGTCAAGCACATGCTGAACGACGATGCTGCCACCACCGCGGCCGATGTGATATTTCCGAACGACCCTTTTCTGCTTGTGAGAGGACTTCCCGCAGTCGGGTGGGATAGCTCTCACCTGGACCCATGCGGTTTTTGAAGTTTCGGTTTTGTGAACTGAGCCACGTCTCGCCCGGCCCAGCTTTATCTGCCCCCATTCCAACGCAAAAGCTGCATCCCGGCACGCCTCGCGTGAATCCGGCGGCTTCATAAACTTCCAGCAACCCAAGCCTTTGGAGCTTGTCCATGATCGGCAACGAGCCGGGGACAACGTGCCTTTTCCCACGACGGACGGGTTTCAGGCCTCTTCTCAGGCCGGCTTGCAGCACACGCCCAGCGAGCACCAGGTCCTCCTCGGTGGTGGTGCAAGCCCCGAGGAAAACGCCATCGAAGACCATGTCGCGACGCTCACCTATCGGCACCACGTTGTCTGGACTGGGATACAGAGCTATCGTGTGCTGCACGGAGGCGAGATCAATCTCGAACTTGGCAGAGTAAACGGCTCCCTCATCTGGTCGGAAATACACCGAGTTCGACTTGTTTCTCTTCCTCCGTCGTCGAGAAACATAGTCCAAGGTGATTTCATCGGGGACAAAGACACCCGTGATTGCGCCAAACTCCTGGCAAAAAGAGAGCGTCAGAAATGCTTCGTGTCTTCTGCAATTTCACTCACCGTGCACATGTTACAGATCGCAAACCTGGCATCGATCGACAAGAATCGAGCCCCCGGGCCGGAAAACTCGACGATTCGGTCCGCGGCGACTGTGTTGCGTTTCAGTTCCCCGAGAATATGGAGGATCACGTCCTTGCCGCCGACCCCGAATCGCGGCGCGCCAACAAAGCTGATGAGGATCGACTGAGGGACCTTGAACCAAGTTTGTCCCGTCACCAAAGGGATCATGACATCGGCCACCCCCAGCCCAATTGCAAGGCAGCCGACCGCTCCAGCCGAGCATGTGTGAGAATCAGCACCGATCACGATCATGCCCGGCTCTGCTCTCTCACGCACAAACTCCGTGTGCATGATTGTGAACTGGGTCGAGGTTAGCGTCATTGGGAAGAGGATGGAAGAAGGGAAAAAGCCCTGGAGATTTTACATTCATGCCCTGATACTCGGTGAGTTTAAAGTCGGTCTTTGCCTTTTCCGATGCCTCGATCAGAGCCTTGACGTTGGGCAGGTGATTGATCCTCGGATCCACGACGTGGTCGCCAGCAATCCAGAACCTGTCGTTGCGCCAGATCTCTGTCGCCTTCATTTCGTCGAATGTCTTACTCATAGCCTGATTTCCCAAGACAACGATGAGTTTCCTCAAGGGATAGACGGCGAACGGGTTTGAGGGGATAAGGGACATACAAACCAACCTGCTTCCGATGTCACGACCCAATCCACCGCCACGGTGATCACGTCTCCTTCTTGGACACCGCGACCCGGACAGCCACCAGCCATATGGTGAACAAAGATCTTTTCCGCCAGGGTCATTGGCCTGACAGTGGCCTGCCGTGTCTGCAGTCCCGGCCGAACGCTTCTGTGCGTCCTTTCCTGCGAATTGAGCGACTCTAGCCATGCCTCGACCAGGAAAAGAAGCTCCTTGATGTCTCCTTCTCCCAAGATCTGCGAGCAATTCAGGCCAAGGCCACCCAGCTCCTTTCGTTCGAGGCCTCTTTCCACCACGACCTCGAGCATATCCGACTCCGGGCCATGGCCGGTGGCGGCCAAGATCGAGGCCAGCTCTCGCAGGCCCTCGATGATAGTCGAGGAACGAATTCTCCGTGCATCCGGGCTCGCAGTATCGGTGACGTGGATTTCTATCTTTCGGGACTCCCGGAGGATTTTGACAGCGTCGGCCAGGAACCGTGCCACTGGGCTCCCCTCCAGATCAAGCGGGATCGAGACCAGGATGGGATTGTTGGTCGAAATCTCCATCATCTGGTATGCCTTTTTGGCGGATCCGAAAACTGGTTGCGCTAGTAGCAAAAAGATATCTGTTTTGCAGGCGGGTCACGAGGCCTTTGTACTGCAAGTGACTACCACGATTTGACAACAAGATATTACTTCTTGTGCCACCAAATGCTTCCCTTCCTGAAGTGCCTAGAGGCGCGCTGCCAAAACCCGCTTTCGGGAACTGTATCGGTCGCGGATCGGACTAGGCCTTTGATCGGAAGAATAGCAGATGCCACTACGCCAAAGATCAACTCTTGGAATGGTGCAACGGTGCCGAAAGCACCGCGCGGTCAGGAACCCTGCACTGGCCATGCACATCATGCCTTAAACTCTGAAACTCTCCCGTGGCGCAAGAGAGGGGTTGGTTCGGTTCTGCCCAACTCATTTTGCGGCGTTTGATGGAATAGATATTTCTTTTACCGGTTCACAACAAAGAAACCCCCCACCCGCCCAGAAATGGCAACAAAAGACGAAGAAGCCTTGGTCTCGAAATCGAAATATCCCGCCGCCGGCGGTGGTGTCGCGAGGTTGAGGCAACTGCTGAGAGAGGGAAGCCACATCGTGGTCTGCCCCGGAGTATATGATGGCTTTACCGCGCGCATCGCCCTGGCCGCCGGATTCGAATGTCTTTACATGGTATGGTAATAATCATCCCTTTCACCCGGCACTACTGTTCTATTCTCCTGATGCATTTCGGCCCCCAATGCTAACAGGATACTCTTTGCCAGACAGGTGCTGGGACCACCATGTCGCGCCTCGGACTGCCCGACCTCGGCCTGGCCACGCTGAACGACATGCGCGACAATGCTGCGATGATTGCCGGTCTGGACAGGGACGTTCCACTGATTGCCGATGCGGACACGGGCTATGGAGGTGAGTGATTGTCAAGAAGGTGCGAGCCGGCATGAGAAGACAAAGCTCAGGATGTCTTCCGCATCTAGGGCCACTCATGGTCGGTCGCACCGTTTCCGCCTACATTTCCGCCGGGGTGGCGGCGCTGCATTTGGAGGACCAGGTGATCACCAAGCGCTGTGGCCACCTGCGCGGCAAGCAGGTCGTCGAGGAAGACGTCTTCCTCTCGCGGATCAGGGCCGCGGTCAACATGCGGACTCAGACGGGCGGGGATATTGTGGTGATCGCGCGGACCGATTCCATGCAGGTGCTCGGCTACGATGCGGCAGTGGCTCGGCTGCGGAAGGCGCTGGCCGTGGGCGCGGACGTCGCGTTTCTCGAAGGCATCAGGTCCAAAGACGAGGCCCGACGAGTCTGCAAGGATCTCGCCCCGGCGCCGGTGCTGTTGAACATGGCCCACGGCGGGCTCACCCCGGCGATATCAGTCGCCGAGGCGCAGGACATGGGGTTCAGGATCGTCATCTTCCCGGGCCTGGCTGTCCAGAGTGTCTACAGCGCCGTGACCAAGGCGGTGAAGGAGCTCAGGGAGACGGGAGATCTCAAGTATCTCGAGGGCGGCGTGCCCAGTCCCGGAGAGATCTATCGGGTATGTGGGATGCAGGAGGCGGTGGACTTTGACCTCGCCGCGGGTGCGAGCACGTTTACCAATGGAGTATGAAAGATGGAACACATATAAATATATATATTTACTACCGCCGTCATACTGGCGTGAAGCTGGGTCAGTGTCCCCGAGGTGTGTTTATCTAAGGTTCTGCCTCTGGGAACCCGGTAGATAATAAACCCCTCCCGCGGCAATGATGCCCATGCCTACTACACAATGCAGGTAGTACGGGAGATCCTTGTACACGGTTTGGCCTTCGCTAGGCGGAACCAAGAGAAACACTCTCGATCGAGCGTGCGCCGCCATCATGCGCAGTCTTCGGGCGATCGACCCCGAGAACTTTGACCATAGGGGTGGGCTATTCGACACAAACTAAGAATAGGAAGAAAGTCTCAGGGACGAGAGCGAGAAAGGCCAATCGGGCTTTGATCGGGTTCAGCAGACCAGATATCACGTTGTTAGACGTCGCAGATGCGAATCCGCAGTCGGCCAATTTGTTGTCGGCTTGTTGATCTGCGTGGGTCGAAGCCAGAGCCCGATCGGACGAGGCTAAGAGAGCCTGGACCTGGACAAAGGTAAGAGCACATCTCTGCCTATATCCAATTTGAGAAAAGTCCGATCTGTCCACCCTCAAGTATCAATACACGTCCGAATACGCGCCTCAAAGAATTCAACATGTCGCCAGCGGCTAGAGATCCTGCATCTGCGGTACCAAACCGGGGCGTGGTGCGTCCCATGGAGATACGCATCCCAGACGACGCCGTCGAAGAATTGAAGACTCTGATTCGCTGCTCTAAAATCGCTGGGCAGACGTACGAGAACTCCCTCCAGGACGGCTCCTTTGGGGTGTCTCGACAGTGGCTTCTGGAGGCGAAGAGAAAATGGGAGGAGGATTTCGACTGGTTGGTCAATCGCGATCTACTCACCGGTGTCAGGAATGTCTCGGCACTAACTTTGACTGCACTGCGTGTAAAGGAGGCGCTGCGAGGCGCGAATCAATAAGTTCCCCCAGTTTACTGTTCCGGTCCAGGCGCACGACGGATGCAGCACCGTTCATTTCTGCGGACTATTCTCAGACAAACCGGATGCGATTCCGCTGCTGTTGCTGCACGGGTGGCCTGGTACGCATACCAACTTCGAGAAAGGGGAGCGGCAGGCAAAAGATGATCTATCTAATCGTTGAGATCTCAGGGAGCTTTCTGGAATTCCTGCCCATCCTGGCCCTGCTGCAGGACAAGTATACCCCTGAAACTCTCCCGTACCACGTCATCGTGCCCTCCCTGCCGGGGTACGGCTTTTCCGCACGCCCTCCTCTCGATCGAGACTTCACTCTCCTAGAAGCGTCGGAGCTGTTGCATTCCTTGATGGAGGAGCTTGGATTCGGTGGAGGGTACATTGCCCAAGGGGGTGATGTGGGGAGCAAGATTGCGAGAATCCTGGCAAAGAGGTATCAAGGTTGCAAAGGTCTGTCAACTGTTAATGCTTGGGGCGGTCTCACTCCGACTGACAGCTTAAAACTCTAGCAATTCATCGTGAGTGCTATCGTCGCGGGCGTTGCGATTCGGCTTTTGACGATGTGTGGGCAAGTAAACTTTTGCGCGATGAACGAACCAGCTCAGCTGAAAGGTTCCACGCAACTGGCCGAAGCTGAACGAGAAGGTCTAGAGCGAATGGCCGTCTTCAACAGTTCTGGGCGAGGATACGCCATTACTCACGCAACAAGACCCAGCACGATAGCTCTGGTCCTCACGAGCAATCCCCTGACAATGCTGGCGTGGTGCGTTTTCCACTTCGACTGCCCTCCTGCACTAAAGTCCCCCTTCACTAACCCGCCACAGGATCGGCGAGAAATTTCTGGAATGGTCCGGCGAGGCGATTTCGATCGACACCATATTGGAGTCGGTCACACTGTACTGGCTGACGGAGACTCTGCCGACATCACTATACACATACCGAGCGGTACGAATAGAGGCGCAAAAAGGGTTCTTTGGGGGAACTTGTGCTGACAGACACGAAATTGAAGAGAACACACCCCGACAACCCCGGCGGACATGGGGATCCGCGGTGGCATGTCGCGAAGCCGCTCGGGTACTCGTACTTCCCGAAAGAGGTGGCCCCGGCGCCGGTCAGCTGGGTCGCTACGACGGGCGACTTGATATTCTCGCGGTCGCGCTCCAAGGTGAGTCGTTCACAGTTGAACTGCGCCACGGAAGATTATGCGGTACGAAACAAGTTGAGTTACTAACGAAGCCGTGCAGGGGGGTCATTTCGCAGCGGCGGAAGTCCCGGAGCTTTTGTTGCAGGATATCGAGGATTTCGCGGCTGTGGCGTGGCCCAGGACAAACCCCTGAGAGGCTGAGAGGAAGGGCGTGGAAACTTTTTGTTGGCAGGACAGAAGGGGACATGGGAATCCTGGAGAGAACGAGGCCGTTGGTTAGATGTCGATGTCTCATAGACTTTTCACGATGGACGTGTAGGATGTGGGATTGAAAGAGTGGAATTAGCCTGGGAGAGGCTTTGTAAAGAGTGCCAGTCCCCCGGATTTACTTAGCTATCTGCTGTAGAACGTTGTGTGGCAGGATATTGCCTGTTGCAATGAATGAGGCTAATAGTCCATTCGTAGCGCGGGCATTGCTAGGCATTTGTTCCAACATCCTTTGCAGTGGTGACGGGATGACGCCTCATAGCGATACCAGGCCAGCAGGATTTCTGTACGCGACATATCCATTGTGGCGAGACTGCGCCCAAGGCACGAGCCTTTTCGAAGGGACTGCATCTAGCGTTTGGCAACTAGGGGCGCCAGCGATGTCAGTCATAAGACGGTGATTCGATGGGGGCTGGTGAGCGCCTCGCCAGGAAACATCTCGGCTCCCGATTTCGGGCGTCGGAAAAGGAGCAAAACGTCTTCGGCCGAAGGAACTCGAGGTGGTGGAAAATTCGGTCTAACCGTATGCAACAAGCGCGGGACCGTGGCCAGTGACAGGCTACAGGTATCGCTCGTAAAGGATACTAGTACCACTAGGGTGGACGGATCAGGTAGGTGGTAGTATAATGTTGTCGGTTGTTGGATATAAACTATCCACGCTGGCGGTGAATACCTCATCACAGCTGCGAATCTCAGAAAGGAGGATCAGTCGTTATAATGTAGAGCATCTTGTCATCCTGTGCATAATGGAGAAGTAAATGCGGGACAGGGTCAAGTACATAAGAGCGGCAAAGTCATCGCTCGTAGACAATGAGGAGACTGCCATCCTGATCTGCTAGACGGACCATTATCAATTCAATTGACTCACTTTCGACAACGTTTTCGATGTTTGGTCTCACAGCCTAGTCCAAAGCACCATCTGCGTCATGGCCGCTCATTTATCTTGCGCGGTGCCGATGTCGAACCCCCAAGACCAGCCCAGGTCTACGTCGATGGCGCCGATATTCATCTCACCGGCGGAATGGTTTGCGTCACTCCCGGCCACCGACGGGGTGGGGTACGCGTTTGCCTGGCCGAAATACTGTTCTCGAAACCTCCACGTCTCGTCGTGCAGCACGCTGGCACTCCCTCGGCTTCGGATCCTCAGCACCGGCTCTTCTCCACGGGCCGTGCTCGAGGCCCCCTCGACCCCGCGCCACAGCTTGGTGAGCACCTCCGTCGACCTGCCGGGGACGTCGTTGTTGGCCACCGATGCGCGGCGCAGGCAGGCCACGGCGCTGTTGAACGAGCGCTTCCCTTCCTCGAAATCCAAGTGTGGGGCGAGGCCGGAGCTGAGCAGCTTGGTGATGGTGAAGCACGCGAGGTTCAACAGATGGTACATCTGCGCCGGCGCGAAGGAAAGCAGGCCGGATGTGCCGTCGGCCTCGGATATCTTCGAGATGACGTCCAAGGCGCTGGAAAACGCCGCCAATAGGCCTTCGCGGCGTAGTCGGCCGCCTACCTGCTCGAAAAACCAGAGCAAGCCTAATTGGAGGCGGACACCGGTGATGTAGACGTCGTTATCGGCTAGGCGGCAGAGTCAGCAGATGTCACATAGGTAGAAGGAATGCATTACCACTTATTCCGTGCCGAAGCTGCGTGTTGAGATCGTCCAGATCTCCCGCGAGCATGCTGATCAGTGTGGATTGGTCATGTCCGCGTTGACAGGTCGGGCTACGCATCACGTTGTTTGAGATCAGGGTCTCGATCTTGTTTGAGAACCTCTGGATCATAAGGCTATGTCTGAGACGCTCGGGCGGCGAGTAAATGGTGTTGGCCTGGCAACATCGGTCGACAAGCCAGTCAAACGGACGGATGGGTTGATAACCAAGGCTGGTGGCAGTACTGTTGACAATCAGCTCTCTGCAGGTTCCTTCACTTCAGGCAATCAAAACCCACGTTTGTGCAGCAATGTTGCAGGCTGCCCAGACATTGATCCGCTCATGTATCTCCTGCTGTGACAAAACGGACTTTGTCCTGGAGAAGTCTTGGATTATCTCGGGCTGGTGAAGACCAAGTTGCATTGCCGCTTGAATTGCTATGCCGCTAAGAATGTAAATGTTCTCTGTAAATGGCGATGACGTTGGCAATGGCCAGGTGATTTGCAGGACAAGAGCCTGGATGGTCTGCAAGGAGTGAGGGCGGACCGCGATTACGGACCACATTAACCCTGTTACCGGTGCAGAGAGGGAGGATAGTAGGGACAGATCTTCGGGGTAACGGCGAGCAGAAATCGCAATTACGGTCCAGAACAGTAGTGGGGACTCCTGGTAGTATCGGTCCGGTGACGCGGTAGGGTCGAGAATCTCGACATATTTGTGGTAGCGGAAGAAGTATCTATTGTCCGTCAGATAATTAGCCTGGGACGACAGGAAGGCTAGCTCGTCGAAGCACCTACTGTTCGAACAGATGGTCGATTTGGTCTGGAGTCAGGCGAACCGTGTCAATAGATCTTTCAAGTGTCGCACGATCTCGATCGGGAGGTGGCTGCGATGGATCATCTCCATTCAGCAATGAGAAATCTAAAAGGTGAGATTCTTGCTCAGCCACGGCAGGCTGCCTGTCAGATGGCTCCGTGAGCAAGTGGTTCTTCTCAGGTGGAGATCTTCCCGAGCCAATGGGGTCTCTGGGAGTGAAGTGCCATTCGCCCAGAGGCATTGATGGAGTTGAGGCTGGTGCTGAAAGAATTGGGCCAGGTGAGAGGATGCTTGCGGTGCCTGATGGGCGCTGTTGGCTGCTTTGGCGCAATTGCTGCAGTTCCTTCTGAAGTTCTTGAATCTTACTATATTGGCCGTTAGTGGCTTTGATCACTTTTCTTTCCCTTTCTCCTGGACGCTTTTTGATAGTTTCTGGTTGATAGAGACACCTACGCATTTTTGTTGAACCGCTGATAGTGTTGATCAACCTGACATTGAAGGTTGAGTCGCCGACAACGTGTACAGGGAAAGACCGGCGCATCGCAGCGTAGCTGTGAGCAATGTGAGGGCAAATCTCTAACAGCATCTTCGGCACAATCACTGATATCAACTGGACTCTCGTTCCGGGGGAAGTGAGCCTCACCTTTGCTTGATGGCACTCAATGCAAACCCGGCGTCTCCGTTTGGCCCGCGGCCTCTGGGCCACTTCAGCGGGGTCTCCTCCTGGCAGCGGTTCGGATTGGTCTTCGCGGACGACCGCTTGAGCCTCGTTAGCCATGGTATAACTGTCAGACTAAGCCGATGATGCGAGCGCGGGCGAACAAGTAGTTGGCTTCTCGAGACAGAGAGCGGAAGAAGGCTGCGGATAGAATTGACTTCGTTCGCCCGAGCGCGGAAACCGATGTCGGAATTAGATCTCGCCCCACGGTGGTCTGTTTCCCCAGCCTGTCCCCAGATTCTGGACTCTGGAGCCCTGATTCGTGGAGGCGTCCAGAAACAATATAAATGATGAAGAAGGCACATCCCTCCGGCTTCCTTGCACCATAAATCCTTTGTCACTGACATTGCGCAGTCATGGACACTGACCTCAAACCAGACGCCAAGGCCACCGTTGCTGAGGAGCACCTCCACATCGAGGTGACCGACAAGCATTCTTTCGACGAACATGCCGAAGTGGTCGACAAGAAGGCCGAGCGGGCTCTGAAACTCAAGTCGGACCTTCTGATTCTCCCCATCATGTCGCTGACTTATCTGATCGCCTACATGGTAAGCCTGTTATTTTTGGATACTTCACATCAAGTCCACTGTTAACTAGCATGCTCAGGACCGCAACAATCTCGGCAATGCGAAGATCATGACCTTCACCAAGGACACCCATCTCACAAGCAAGCAATTCTATAACTGTCTTACGTTCTTCTGTATGGAATTTCACTCCGTTCGGGCATTGTGATGGTCTATTCTGACGCAGGCCGTAGATGTGGGTTACCTTACATGCATGCTCGCTGGCAACCTGGCTCTCAGGGCCTGGGGACCTGACAGAACCATCGGGGGGGCCTGCGTGTTCTTCGGTGCGATTGTTTGCGGCTTATCTCAAGCGAAGAACTACGGCTCCGTCATGGCCCTTCGAGTGCTGGTAGGCTGCGGAGAAGCCTTTATTCAAGGAGGCGGTCTCTATTTAAGCTTGTGGTATAGCCGGCATGAGCTGGCCACCAGAGCGGGTATGGTTCTCTGAGACTCTTGACAGATAGAACATGGCTAAACAGACATTTGCGCAGCGATTTACTACTCGACCTCGACGATTAGCGGGTGCTTCAGCGGCCTAATTGCCTATGGTGCCCAAAAAGGCCTCGATGGCACGCATGGAATGTCCTCGTGGCAGTGGCTCTTCTTGGTCGAGGGAATCCCTTCAATTGCGGTGGGCATATTGATCTTGCTCCTTCTTCCTCAATTTCCCGACAGATTGAAGAAGCATTGGCTTTTTACGGAGGATGAGATTGCTCTCGCTGTCTCTAGGGCGAGTGGTAAGTCTTTGATGCGAGAAGAATGAACGACTCAGGCCTTTGACTCGCGAATACAGCCTACAACGTAGCAGGAGCAAAAATCAAGTGGTCAGATGTACTGCGTGCTCTCAGGGAGCCGAAAACGTGAGGCCCATCCCTGACAGACACTCTCTTTGCCGCTCCCTGTGCATGACGCTAATTTGCATCTGCAGGTACATGGTAGCTTGCATCTATGGCGGTGTTGGCATGGGATCTGCTGCAGTCGGCAACTTCCTACCGTCCATTATCAAGTCGTTTGGTTACTCAGCGAGTATGGTTACCTTCCAAACAAATTTCTGCCTTGGGCTAACACAGTCTCACCCAGTCCATTCTCAGCTTTTCACAGTCATTCCATATGCCTGCGCGACGGTGTCTTTGGTCGCGGTCAACTATGTCTCGGATCGATTTCGGCGCAAAGGCATATTCGTTGCCGGATGTCTCGTCCTGTCTATCGTGGGCTATATCATTCTGATGACCATCACAAACAACGCGGGCCGCATTGTGGCCACTTGCCTGGTGGTCAGTGGCATCTACCCAGCCATCATTCTGGTGTTCTCTTGGGCCAATACCAACAGCTGTGGGTATACCAAGAGAGCAACGTCGTGGGCAGTGGCCGGCATTTTTGCTCAGTGCTTTTCCATTGCGGCTTCGCAAGTCTACACCGACGCCCCAAGGTATCTCAAGGGGCACGGTGTGATGTTGGCCTTTCTCAGTCTTAGCTTGATCAATACGCTTGCATTGTATTTGTGGATGAAGCGGGCGAATGCGAAGAAGGAAGAAATCGAACTGGATTACAGGCAGAGGGGTATTGCCCACCCACACTACTCGACTTCATTGGAGGACGAAGGTGATGGGCATATCAGATTCCGATACGTGCTCTGAGCGAGACAACCAAGGTTGTTCCTGCGCTTCAATGGCCAACAATCCAGGACACAGCGCTTAGGTAGCCACAAACATCTTGACATTCCCTGGAGCTTCTAAATTTGTCGAGATAGCTGGTAGTTTTATATTGAATAGAACCTCGCAAGTCCTTCGCTGTGATTTCGATCCTCTACGGAGTACAACGTGCTAGTTATAGCCTGGCCCCTTTGATGCCAACTGAAAATTTAGGCGGCAGGGAACAGTTACGTGGGTATAGAGAGGAACAAGGCACCACTCTCCATACTATGTTTTGTAGCCCATGGGTGCTTGTATTTTAACGCAGACCTAGAGCTTTCGGTGCTTGGGCTACTTATTTGCCCGTGTTATATTCCCTGCTGAATGAGGAAGGCTTCAACTGCGGACCCTGTCGCACCGCTAGGCCCAAGCCCACCGAGAGTGCACAATTGGACCTCGGTTTGTTGCCCAGAGGCTGCTTAGAGATGCTTCGCCTAGTTAATACTCGGGGTTAGAAGTAGGCTGCGCGCACTCACGAGGATCAAATCGAGTTTAGCGAACTAGTGTTTCGTTCGCAAGGAACTCTTACGAGGAGGCCAGAACAAGGGCATAGAACAAGACATAGTACGCAGGTAAGTCCGGGCAAATATTATTTTAATATGCCTACGGCCATAAGCCCACGATTACGATCTAACAATAGTTAGTTAGGGTCTTGATTCTCTCGTTGGCACACCGTCTTCCATGCCTGTGGACCGGTCCCCAATAAGGCTGTGCCTCCAAATAATATTGCAATTAGCTGGAATATTAGTGGACGATGGTATCCAAAGAGAAGTTCAATAGTGGGAAATCCTTCGATGGCGAAGCGGGAATTGATGGCGATTGTCGCATGCAGAGCCTTAAGGTCCTCAATCCACACTCGGGACTCACTGCGGCTGCTGCGAACAGATGGCAAAAATGGGGGTTTCTTCAATTTCTTGAATGTCGAGAAGAAAAAGGTCGAGACTTCCAGTGTCTCTTTTTAAGCGATTGTTCTTGTCCTGACTCTTTTGTCTCTTGCAAACGCGCTTCAGGTTGACTGGATTCCATTCCTGACACGTTGTCACCCCACGAAAGCATGGCTGTGATGACACGACAGAGGGCTAGATCCAGCCCAGGCCTGAGCGAGCGAAGACCTATACCGGTAACATTGGTCTCTGGGTTTCTGGGGAGCGGCAAGACGACACTTCTCAAGAACATCCTGACCTCTGACCAGCACTCGCTGCGGATCGCGGTCATTGTCAATGACATGGCCGCCCTCAACATCGATGCATCCCTGATCAAACGCCATGTGGTCTCCCAGACCCAAGAACGGCTGATACAGATGGAGAACGGATGCATCTGCTGCACGCTTCGAGGCGACTTGCTTGAAGAGCTGGCCAAGTTGGCCCGCAACCGGGAGTGCGAATACATCTTGATTGAGAGCACGGGGATCAGCGAACCAATGCAGGTGGCAGAGACATTCACGGAGGAGTTTGCGCAGGCCATGATCGAAGCGGCCAATGACGGCTCGCTAGAGGGCCAGGAGGACGATGAGAGGGTCTTGAAAGAGATGTATGACACCGGTTAATGCACAACCCACCAATTCCCACGATGTCCGGCTGAAAGAATTGGTCTGGTAGGGCGGATCTGGGTGGTTTGCAAAACATCGCCAAACTCGACACTCTTGTGACCATTGTCGACGCGTTCAATTTCTTCCACAACTTTGCCACCACCGAATTCATCACCGACCGGTGGGGGAAGGACGGCGTTGATCCCGAAGACGAGCGCACCATCACGGACTTGATGGTTGATCAGATGTAAGTGTGTTTGCCTGTCGACATAACAGCCCAGCAAATGCCCCTTATGAGACCGTGGCTAATCTGTACATGGCGATCAGAGAATTCGCCAATACCATCATCCTCAACAAGACCGACAGCGTGGACATGGCGACAAGGTCTCGGATCAGGGCCATCGTCCACCAACTGAACCCCGCCGCGAAGGTCTTGGAATGCAACTACTCCAAGGTCGACCCGCGAGAAGTTATCAGCACCGAGACGTTCTCGTTCGAAAAGGCCGCAACGAACATGGGCTGGCTCCAGAGTCTCCACGACCTCAACAAGCGAGAGATCAATGGCCAGATCAAGATCGCTCCCAAGCCGGAGACTGAAGAGTGAGTGTCCCACAGAGACAGATATAGCGCTCAGGTACCCTGTGTTCTAGGGTTATTGATGAAGTCTACTAGGTACGGTATTTCCAGCTTCGTCTACCGTGCGCGGCGGCCCTTCAACCCACGACGTCTGTACAGGCTGATACACGACAAGTTTGTCATCATGGAGGGTCAGATCGTGGATCCGGAAGAGGATGAGGAAGGGAAGGAAGTGGGTGAGCAAAGCGGAAGTGAAGACGATGACATGGAAGTGGAAAGCGCCGAAGAGCTGTCCTCGGATACTAGCGATGGTGATCCCATGACCCCGGCAATCGCTGACAGAGGGGTTGCAGACACTGACGATGTCGTTTATCCAGACGCAATTCAAGCGGAAGATCAAGATGACACTGACGATTTTTCCAAATCCATTGATCCAAAGGTACGCCCGGTGTCTTGGCCATGTTTCAAGGGTTGTCGTTATTGCTGACGTCCGACCCTCACGCAGGTCGTCGCCGGTAACAAGAAGGCAAACCCCATCTTTGCCGGCCTCTTGCGTTCCAAGGGGTTCATCTGGCTCGCCACCCGTCCGTTCTTACACGGAGAATGGAGCCAGGCCGGGACCATGCTGACCTTGCAGGGTGGTGGCCCTTGGTTCTGTGCTCTTGACGACGGTATGAACCCATTCTTCCTTTCCCTCCAGCTGATTTCACCATGGTTGCTTGAACATATAGATGCCGGCAACATGGTTAGTTGAAACATACTGACCACGTTTCTAAAGCCCACTGGCCCACCGACCCCGACACACGCCGCAGCATTGAAGCCGACTTTGCCGAACCCTGGGGCGACCGACGACAGGAGATCGTGTTCATCGGCGAGAAACTCGACACCGCAGGTCTAAAGGCTGAATTCGACGGATGTCTGTTGACGGATCCTGAAATGCGCAAATGGGAGAAGATCATGAAGTCTACCGAGGATAGGGAGGTGGTCCATGACAAGTTGGCTAATGTCTTTGAAGGTGAGCCTTTTCATCTAACAATCGGAGTTTCTCAACTGACACATGACAGATGGCTTTGAGGATTGGCCTGAGCTCGTGCACGAGGAGGACGAGGAGGACGGTCACAACCACGAGCATCAGCATCGAGTTCAGAACCAGCAGCGCATAAAGCCGGGGAAAGAACTCCAAACGAAAAACAAGTAAACCAAGGTGAGGAGGCAAAGGCAAGAGAATATTGAGGTGCGGGGCCTCCATCGACAATATAGCATATTGACTTATATAGCGTGGGGATTTGCGGACTCGATTAGACTTCAAATATGATATAGTCGGCTTGGAATGCACTTTGTGGACAAAACTTCTCTACAAAAATGGCACGATCGATTAGATGAAAGTCAAGTCTGTGCTTGCTCGAGGCTGGCCACGGAGAGGCGCAGTGGCATTGCTCAACCAGGGGCAAGCCTGCAGAAGACGAGAAGCTTTCTGGAACAAACTTTTGAAGAATTGGGCTCAGCAAGAATAGGGGCCACAATTCCAACACGGGCCACCGCCTTTGTACTTTACGTGTTTATAGCACAGAGACAGCCTGCCACTGTAACAGGCCCGCCATTATCAGTCCCCAAAAATGGTCATAGCACTGGAGCTTGGAGGCAAAGTTGTGCATATCCTTCTGAGAGATCTTGGCAGCCGAATGCTCCACGGCAAATTCGTCATCGGCAAATGCGCAACAGTGTCGGCCGCGTCATGCCAGCGATACGTGTCTGTGGGGACACGGAGAAGAATCATCTCTTGAATGCTCTACTAGCCATCCAGAGAGCAACCAGCTCTCGCTTATCTGGAGGCAGGGGACTGCTAAAGCGCTAGGCCTACTCTCGTAAGGTAGGTGTAGGTGAGAGCACCACATCATCCTTTTGGTCATGGGTAAAAGCTATGGTGTGGGCGAAGCCTCGACCTGCGAAGCTGAGACAACGGGGTCTTAAGCATTTCACTACAATGGCCAAGCAATGTGTGCGTAATGCTTGACGACGGCGTCCATAGCCATTTTGCGGATGGCGACGATCTCGACCAATGCTCTCTTTGCTAATTCAAAGACAGATTGTCCAGGACCACACTCTGTCGTCAACAGGGTGTCGTTGATGGGGCCGGGATGAGGAGCGACAGTCTCTGGCAGCTTCTCGTGGAATTCTGCGGATGTGGACAGACTTATATAAACAGGTAGGTCGGAGGATGTCGTGACTTTCTGGAGCATCTCGCCCAAATCTAGTTGCTACCCATTCCAGAGCTTGCAGCAATACATCGGACATACTCACCATGGTCCAATACCTCTGTTTCCTCGTTGCTACTCTCCTTGCGGCCTCTGCAGTCATTGCCCACCCGGGCCACGACGTGGCCGAGGAGGCCGTGGAAAGGGCAGAGTTCTTCAAGCGCAACCCACGAACGTTGCGGTCCTGCGCGTCCGCGTTGAGCAAAAGAGGACTGGAGTCGGCCAGCATTGCTCGCCGACGGGCCCTGGCCGACGACTTGCGCAAGCGCCGTGGTCTGGCCGGCAAACCTCTGATCCACCGACGAGACTTCAGCGCCTACAACTTCACGCACCAGAGCACCGACTCGGCCGTATCGCTGGACGTGGACGAGACGGTCCTCTTCGCGGACAACTCCTCGTGCGCGCTGCAGGCCGACGTCACCCAAGGCCCGTACTTTGTCAAGGGAGAGCTGATCCGCCCGAACCTGGTGGAGGACCAGCAGGGCGTCCCGCTCACGCTGGACATCCAAATCATCGACACGACCACCTGCGAGCCGATCCCGGCTCTGTTTCTGGACATCTGGCACTGCAACTCCACAGGCGTGTACAGCGGCGTGGTTGCCTCGGGGAACGGGAACAGCAACGACAGCACGAATCTCAACCAGACCTTTCTGAGAGGGATTCAGCAGACCGACGGGAACGGCATTGCCCAGTTCGAGACGCTTTTCCCAGGGCACTATACCGGTATGCGAAACCATTCACCCCCCACCCAACTGCATACAGGAGCTGTACTAATGAGGATTGTCCCAGGGCGCGCCAACCACATCCACGTCCTCACGCACAACCAAAACGCCACGACCGTCCGCGTGAACGGCACGTTACTCGGCACCAATGCGTCGGCCAACGTCCACGCCTCACATGTCGGCCAGCTTTTCTTCGACCAAGACCTCATTGCCCAGGTCGAGGCGGTTTCTCCTTACGCCACAAACACTCAAGAGTTGACGTTGAATTCGGAGGACAGTATCCTGGGTTCAGAAGCTGACAGCACCGATCCTTTTGTTGAGTACGTGCTGCTGGGAGACACGGTGCAGGACGGGATTCTGGCCTGGATCAGCATTGGAATCGATCCGACCGAAGACGAGGAAGTCAGCAATGCCGCTACATACTACAAAGACGGGGGAGTAGCCTCGGATAACAACGCAATGGGAGGAGCAGGCGGAGGCAGTCCACCAAACGGCACTGCGGCTAGTCAGGGAGCACCCAGTGGGAGCCTGCCAGCGACCAGTTTGAGTCAGCCGAGTGCATAGACGATGATTTCGTTTCGTTCTGCATTGTTATCGCATCTAGTGGTTTTACTCCCGGTAGAAGACCACGCAGCGATCGTTGAGGGGGTAAAGGTGTTCCAGGGATTTGATTATATGGTTGATAGTATGTCCGTTCGAAACGCTTTGACCTCCTTCGTCAGAGACATACCTGCGTCACCTCGGGACCCAGTCGTGAAAGGATCGACGGGATGAGGCTCCAATCCGTAAGGCTGAGAAGGCGCAGTCCATAGCTTCTACTTCGTAACTTGCGCAGGTCCTGTGGCTCCATCGGCTTCAATTACTTGTCGCCTGCTTTGCGACGTGCCTGAGGCTCAAAGCCTAGAAAACACAGGGGAAAGTGTTGATGAGGAGAAAGCACGGAGGCGACGAAGCACCGTAAGGGAAGGGAGATAGGATCCTTGCAGGGAAAGAGGCGTGAGATCATGATTGTCAAGTCTCGCCAGGGCGTAGAATATTCTGGCTAACGGTTTGAAGTCTTTGTGGGATTCTCTGCAAGAGTATCTGGAGGTGAGCCACTGCATCTTAGTGGCCTGGGGTGGAAGAAGGCTGGAGCTTCATTCCTATCCCCACGGAGCGGGCAAAAGCTCGGCATCTCCAACTCCCCAGCCCAGGTTTCTCCCATTGACTTACCCTCTCCAGATTTATTCCGAGGTTATCTAAGGTGCTGTAATGGAACTCCATCTGAACCCTTCTGCAAATTCCTGCACCAAATCAGCTGACCTTCGCTTTCGCCCTGAGCCGGAGTTCATGTTGTACATCAGTGTGATTCAGAGAACACAGAAGGGCGCGTGGGACTCTTGCTTTCGTAGATTTGTCCGTGTTGATTGATTGTTGATTGTGAGCACAATGAGTTCCAAAAAAGACTCGGCACCAACAGATCGTCTTGCACAAGTCGTCCAACACGTAGCAGGGTCACAGGATGAGTCTTCAAAGCCCAACTCGGCACGGAGTCGTCGCTCCAAGACTTCAAGAAGCGCCGGCCCACCGGCAGATTACTCTGATGTGCTCTCGAACCTGCAAAAGCTCAGCAAAATCGCTCACACCCCCGACCTGTCCAATCGAGGGTACGTGAGGCAGAAACGTGAGGGGAAGCTATGGGTGAGAGAACGTTTGGAGCAACTGGTCGACAAGGGCAGCTTCAAGGAAATTGGTAGTGCCAGCGGGCGAGTGGAATGGAAGCAGACGGGCCCTCGTGATGAGGAACCAGTGTCCTTTCAACCCACGAACAACCTCCAAGGTGAGCGCACATCGCAGCAAATCGGTCTCCAGCTGACCGTGCCGAGGCTTTGGTTTGTTGGACGGGAGAAGGGTCATCATCACAGCGGACGACTATACGATTCGAGCTGGACATGCGGACGGAGCTATTTCTGCCAAAACCGTAAGTATCTTCACATGAAGACAACCATGGGAGATTCCAAAAAGTCTGCGAGCTGACATACTGCTTCAAGGTATACTCGGAAAAGCTAGCAGTGGCGCTGAATATGCCCATTATCAAGCTGACAGACGGATCTTCGGGCGGCGGATCTGTGAGCACCATCAAGACACATGGCTGGTCGTACGTGCCAGGTGTGCCAGGTTTCATCCCGGCGGTCCAGGGCATCAACAAGGGGATTCCGAACTTGGCGGCCGTGCTGGGCCCAGCCGTAAGCTTCTCGACGATTCTTGGGCGTGTCCATTCAAGCGCTGACCGCATGGCAGATTGGGATCGGTGCTGCACGCGCGGTCATCTCGCATTTCTCGGTCATGGCGGGCGATATTGGAAGCCTGTTTAATGCCGGACCGCAAGTTGTTGAAGGAGCCACGTTCGAAGAGGGACTCACTTTGCGCGAACTAGGTGGTCCGGGTATCCACTGTCTCAATGGAACGATAGACAACCTCGCAGCGAACGAAAGCGAATGCTTTGAGCAGATCAGGAGGGTTCTTTCCTACTTGCCGAACTGTGGCCACTCGAAGCTACCACCCGTGCTTCCTGCCAGCGACCCGATTGCGAGAGTCAGTGAGGAATTGAGAACCGCCATTCCTCGTCGGAAGGAACGTATGTACGATGCCCGCGCGATCATCAAGACGGTTTTCGACGCTGGCTCGTGGTTTGAGATCGGACCCCTCTGGGGCAGGACGGCCATTGTCGGCCTGGCCAGACTGGGAGGGCATCCCGTGGGGGTGATTTCGCTCAACTGCGAAGTCAATGCCGGTGCGCTTGACGCTGGTGGTTCTCAGAAAATCACGCGCCATCTGAAGCTGTGCGACGTGATGAATTTGCCCATCGTTCAGTTCGTCGATGTCCCCGGCTACGCCATTGGCACCGTGGCCGAGAAACAAGGTGAGAGAAAGAAACCCGTGCCCATTCACGGAGATATGGTTACTGACACTAGCCAAAATCCAGCGACCATGCGTTGGGGAGTTGAGCTGGGAAAGGCCTATATCTCAACCACAATTCCCATCTTCAGTGTCTTAACCCGCAGAGTCTACGGCGTTGCTGGTGGCATTATGGTCGCTTGTCGTGACCCAATGGCGTCCGTCGCGTGGCCTAGTGGAGAATGGGGAAGTCTGCCTCTGGACGGCGGTATCGAGGTTGGACATAGATGGGAATTGAAACAGGCCGAAGAGGCTGGGAAGAAGAAGGAGCTGTATACACAGCTCGAAGACGAATATCGTCGACTTATGAACCCCATCCGCACTGCCAACGCTTTTGGCGTTCAGGAAATTATAGATCCGGCACACACGAGGCGAGTGGTCGCCGAATGGGCTTTGCACATGTAAGTTCCAGAGAGCAAGTCTCTTGCTCAGGGGGGTGTTTTGCTGTTGACGTGCTAACCCTGTCAGATATGCCGATGTCCTTCCACAACGCCTTCTAGACCGCGCTGCAGGTCGAATTCACCCGTCGTTCGCGTGAGTCGATACATAACCGATGATAGATGATGAGTCGGTGGGTCTTGTGTGAATTCATATTGGGCTCATCGAGCGATCAATCGAACGATCTATACATTACTTGTTATGGTGTATAGACCTGAACGATAGACAACTCGCATTTCAGTTGGCAAGCACTGAACAGGTCTAATATGTGTTTTTTGTAGCACTAGAAGGAATACTACAAAATCGTGCTATAATTTTGCCGCCAACCCGAGTGCGCCAGCTGGCGTCTTCTCCTTGCGAGGCTCCAATTCGCAAACCAACATTCCTTCGCCCACATTCTCTCCTTCTTCGACATCACACACCCAGGTCAGAACGCCAGCTGCTGGCGCTCGAACCTCCAGCTCCATCTTCATCTGTCGCACTACCATCAGGACTTCGCCCTCTTGCACCTCGTCCCCAGCCTCGGCCAGGAGCTCGACCACCACCCCGGCGAATGGCAGGACGACGTGGTTCGGGTTCGAAGGGTCGCCTTTGCGGTGATGCGACGACGCCAGATTGGAGCCCGTAGTCGAGATGGCCAAGCTCGCGGTGAATTTCTTTGCTTCCGAGGACCCGGAGAGAAGGGACACGTCGCCGGCGATGAGGTTGGGGAAATCGTTGTTCATGATGCGATCGAGAACAATGACATGTTCCTCTTCTGTGGTTTTCCGGCCACCGTCCAACAGCCCACTCAATTTCACTCGGAATGCATCGCCTTTCTTGAAGAGGATGTTTGAGGGGTTGCCGATAGCCCCAGCCGTAGAGGATCCGGCTTCGTTGCCGGATGTTCCTGTGACGGACACTTGCCTCACTGAGCGTGTAGAGGCTTCCATACCCTGGCCGAGTTTCAGCACCTCAGGCAGGTTCTTTTCCAGCCAGGTGGTGGAGCAGGCAGATTTCTGGAAGTCGGCCGAGGCAAGCGTGCCCAGAAGAACCGGCAGATTGGTCTTTACTCCGTGGATAGCCAGATCGCAAAGAGCTCGCAGGCCTTTCCGCCTGGACTCTTCTCGCGTCGAGGTGCTCACAATGACCTTGGCAAGGAGTGAGTCGAAAGATGATCCGACTACAGTGGCTCGAGTGCCACTGAGATGAGTCTCAATCCTGACGCCACGGCCGCCAGGACAGTGGAACTGCGAGATTCGACCCATGCTCAAAGTGAAACCCTGGACGGGATCCTCGGCCGTCACGCGTAGCTGTATGGCTGTTCTCTTCGGGGCGTTCTGTGGGGAGGCGGTCGCCTCTCTTGAGGGCAAGCCCAGGCTGTCAATCGTCGCACCTTGGGCGATGAGCAGCTGGTCTCGTACCAGGTCTACATTCGTGATTTCTTCTGTCACAGTGTGCTCCACTTGAAGTCGTGGGTTGACCTCTAGGAAGTAAAACTCTGGTCTGGACTCGTGTACGAGGTATTCGAATGTCCCCAAAGACCTGTATCGTATCTATTGTCCAGTTAGCAAGGGGAAGGAAACCAAACCAAACCCTTAGGAAGTGCCGTCAACTTACCGACTTGGCCACGTTGATCGCGCTCTCAATCACCGTTGCGATAAGTTCGCGGTTTTGGATGGTCGAGGGTGCCAGCTCCACCATTTTCTGGAATCTGGCAATGTCAGGATGGATATAGCGTGATGGCTGAGACCCGCGCAACGAACCTTCGCTGTATACTGCACTCGCGCTCCCAAAGATGTGCCACCTGTCCACGGCCGTCACCAATGATCTGGACTTCCACGTGCCGGTATCCGTCAACGGCAGCCTTCTCGATGAAGACTTTTCCTCCGGGGGACTCTCCTCGAGCACGGTCGAACCCGTCTTTCAAATGCTCAGCACTGGATACCAATCGGATACCGCGGCCTCCACCGCCATCAACGGCCTTGATCATCAAGGGGAAACCAGTCGCGCTGATAAACCCAGACGCCTCTTCCAGGTGAGCAATTGGCTCCTTTAGGGCAGGCAACACCGGGACGTTGCACGACTCTGCCAGCGCACGAGCTGTCGTTTTATCACCCGTGCGTCTCAGGATCTCTGGCGTTGGGCCAATGAAGCGGATCCCCGCCGTCTCCAGCGATTCAGCAAAATCGGCATTTTCTGAGAGGAATCCATATCCCGGGTGGACGGAATCGATTTGGTGGTCGAGACACAGCTGTGTCAGGAGCTTGCCGTTCATGAAGTCTTCTGGCAGCTTCAGACAGACGGCTTCGTCCGCATGGATTGCATGATTCTCGTCGTCCTTGGTATAGATGGCGACGGTATGGATCCCAAGTTCGCGTGCGGAGGAGATGATGCGGATGGCAATCTCTCCTCTTGCCTTGATCTCAGTATCTCTTTTCCGTCAACAAGGCCAGGGCGCCAACTCACCTGTTCGCGACAAGAAGCCGCCTGATGCCCGAAGTGAGCTCCATGGTTAGCGGCAAAATGAACACTTCGAATTGCCGCTCGTAATTTCACGGCGGTTGCTGTGCACTGTTACCAATACAGTGTGAAGGTCGGGCGTAAAGGTGTCGTCGTCCGCTCCGGCTAATCAGCCCCTACGTGCCACATATTTTCTTCCCTGGAGGCAAAAGCCATCCAAGCGCCAGCTTCACAGCCAAGCGGTCCAAATCCAGAAGCCACTTCTTCAGTGGTCCTATACCCGCACGATGGTCCGAGGAAGCAGAGAGCGGCTGGATCCCCACGATACCCCAACACTGTAGCCGGATGCTTTACATAACCCTGGCTATCTAACGTCCCCCACGCAACATCGGTACTTTCGCCCTGGGGTGTCTTGGCCCATGACTAGAGGAGCCAGCTGTCCTAGGCAAAGTCTCAATATGACCATCTTTGAGTTGGATTGAGGGAGACAGATGTGCCAAAGTCAGTGAACATGTCCTTCGTTACTGCCGCCGCCGTGGCGGCTGCCACCACTGCTCTGGGCATGTACTTGGACGGCAAATACTCGATTGGGAGCGACATTGCTCAAATCCGTGGCGGTTGGCGTTTACAGAAATACGCCGAGCAGCTCTTCAAGATACATGGAGAAGACGACTGGTCATTCTATCATGTGCTGCATTCCACGCACGGGCTGAACGATGATATGGAAGCGTTTGTGTTTGAAGGCCGGAGTTGGACGTACAGGCGGTTAAGGGAGGAAATTGGGCGCTGTGCAGAAGCTCTCAAGCGCCTCGGTGTGAGGAACCGCATGGTCGTCGGGCTGTTCGTCAACAACTCCCCTGAGTTTATGTTCATGTGGTGGGCACTGTACAAACTCGGCGCAATCCCAGCTCCGATCAACACATCGATAACGGGCGCCCATATCAAGCACTGCCTCAAGGTGAGCGAGGCCGAGATGCTCGTCACCACTTTCGAGTTGGGCAACATCATCGCACAGACCTTTGAGTTGGAGGATGGGGCGAAGGGGTTTGAGGGCGACTCTTCGTGTCCGTCACTCGGGCAGATTATCTTGTACGACCACCAAACCTACCCCTCGACGGGCTCCTGGTCCACCAAACGGGGCATCGCTCTCTTGGATCATTCACGACTGCCCCAGCCAACACGGGAAATGGGGGATTTTCCAAAATCGTCAAGACCAAAAGTGTTGCACTCCGACGCGTCCCAGTATCTCTTTACATCAGGGACGACGGGCCTGCCCAAAGCCCTGATCTGGCCTGCCGGCTACAGCCTGTGTGGATCCTGCCCAACGAGATATCCCGGTATGCAGGACAAGCTTCGGAGATGGTATATTTGCTTGCCCATGTTCCATGGCACAGCTACGTGAGTTGACTTCCATTTTCGAAAAGGGCGACTGATACCAACGTGGGCAGATTTGCCGCCTTGCCGGCGACGTTTGCAACATCTGGCACCGTTATATTGGCGCGGAAATTCTCAAGACGAGAGTTCTGGGCAGACGTCCGGCGGTCGAGAGCGAATGCTATTCTGTATATTGGAGAGTTGCTGCGCTATCTCGTTCAGTCTCCCCCTGATCCTCGATTTCCGGATGAGAAGGACCATGGAGTGGATCTGGCCTTTGGCCTAGGTCTGGCGCCAACAGTATGGCGTGCCGTTCGTGAGAGGTACGGGATCCCGTGGATCGTTGAGTACTACTCGGCAAGTGAGGCCACGCTATCTATCCTCAACTCAAACAAGAACGATCGAGGCGTTGGTAAAGTTGCGCATTGGGGGCCTCTTATGCGCAACTTCTTCCAAGACAGATTTTACATTGTGCGAACTGATATTGAGACGGGGGATATCTTGCGGGACCCGAAAACGGGATTCTGTATAGAAGCCCAAGAGGGCGAGATTGGCGAGTCGCTCTGCAGGATCGTGCCTCCGGTCCAGCGGCGGCACGACTACGTGGGCGAAGGAGGAAAGGAAGCCACCGAGAAAAAGGTGCTGAGAAATGTTTTCAAGAAGGGAGACGAGTTCTTCCGGTTGGGGGATGCAATGATGAAGGTGAGTCGCCGTTGTCTGAGCACTTGTTCCTGAGAAAGGGAATCCACAATAGCGGACGTTCCACCGTCTTGTTATTACTCGTAACTAACAGACTGTCGCCCAACAGGACCAGGAGGGTTATATCTCATTCCATGATCGGCTTGGAGACACATATCGTGCAAAGGGACACAATATCTCGACCACTGAAGTCGAGGGCTGTCTGAGTCGACACCCCAACATCGCTTCTGTCAATGTCTATGCCATACCCATGAACCGGTATGGCTACGATGGACAGCTTGGCTGCGCGGCCATTACCTTTGTCGACAGCGAGAGTGGCCCTGGATCTGACCAGCCGTCCGCCAGAGAGCTGGAGACGGTTAAAGAGCTCGAGAAATGGACCACGACCAACGCAAGTGCTCTGCCTGCGTATGCGGTGCCGCGATTCCTGCGAGTGCTGGTCACCGATCGACCGACTGGCACCGGTAGCGACACTGGCGCAGACCGAGTGTCGCTGATCATGAAAAAGCTCAAGACGGGACTTCGACAGGAAGGTGTGTATCGCTCGCATTGTAAAGCCAGAGTACCATGCTGATGTATATGTGTGCGACAGGTTTTACATTACCCACGGGTAGCCGAGACAGAATCTATTGGATCGAAAAGGAGGGTGCCGGGTATGTCCCACTGACACAGGAGGCGGTGCAGGGTCTTCTCTCGGGCAAGGCTCGACTATAGGGCTCGTGGGAGGGACCAGAGGCAGACCACAACCATAGACAAGCCATGCCCACGTAGATGAACTAGGTCTGGGCGGTCGTTAGAGCATGGATAAATAGCATTGGCCGAGGTTCAACGCGCTCCCAAGTCTCGCCCAGCCCTTTCGGGCCCTATCAAGAAGCATTCTCGATCCACATCGGGCACAGTACCTCGTAACTTTCCACAGCTGCGGGGAGGCATCAGGCCATTCATTGCTTTCATTAAGCGGATATTGGCCCCCCATGTGTCTGGGATTTGTTCTGGCTGGTGTTGCATTGTATTGTTCGACTGCGCATCCATTCCCCTAGGCGCCGAGTGAACTTGATGACATCTCTGATCAGCCATGGGCTCGACACGCCGGAAACCAGATGCCACACTCCCTCCCTAGACCGACGCCTCGGGCGGATGAAGGTGCGTAGTTGCCGGTAGCTGAGCACAAGCTGACAGACATTAATGCTGACCTTGCACGCCACAGACACACGCCAGGATCGGCGACGACAGAGGTATTCATCGGCGCCGCCACTGTTCATCCGCTCGTGGCACATGGAGATCGAGGTGCGTGGAGCCAGCCCTCCCCGGGCAAAGCACTCATCGTCGACTGACTCGGGTATATGGATTTGCAACACACAGACCCTCGTCTGGCTTCTCAACTATAGCGACAGCAAAGATGCCATCCACCGCCAGCCATGCCGATAGCGCCATGGCCGAGACTGAAACACATGCCAATCGACTCTTTCGACTCCTGAACGACGACTCGGACGCCTCGCCCCTCGATCCCTCCAGCCCAGGCCAGACGACAGCGACGCAGCCGCTGACCCCGGCCTTCGACCTCTACCAAGCCTCGTGGGCCGACGCCTCAGCCCAGTCTGCTGAGCGAATCTCTGCCACCATTGCCAGGCTCGACGCCGCTCTGCACACCTACCTCCTCGCGCAGTTCTGGGAGCGGTTCAACGCGTGCATCCGGCTCGTCCACCAGGCGGCTTTCCTCGCCGGTCTGGAGGAGCACCACCACGACCACCACCACGACCACCACGCCTCGCCGTCGTCGGGCCGCTACTGCCCCTGCCGCCACTTCTACTCGCCCGAACTGCATCTCGCCGTGCTGGCCATGGGCCTGCGCCGCGCCGACCGCTCGCGCCCCGACATGGCACCGCTCTTGCTGCCGGACCACGACTCTACGCTGCACCGCGACCTGAGAGACGTGGCCGGCCTTCTGCCGCCGCGGAGCAGCATTTCCAACCGGTGGACGCTCGCCCAGGTCCAGGCCGTGGTGATCCTCGCCCTCCTCGAGCGCGAGCGCGGCCGGGACCAGTCTGCCCGGCTCGCCCTAGGTACGCATCTACATGTTTTCCGTGTTTGTATTCACACGCTACGCTGTCGTCGCCCATGCCGTTTTCCCTAGCGCCCCGCAAAACGAAAAGACCAAGCACTGCTGACGCGAACCTCGCTCCCCAGACTCGGCCTTGACCATGATCCACGACATCCAAGCGGGCAGCGGCGCCCCGGATCTTCTGTCCATGCACGTGTCCGACGACGAGCTGATCGTCCAGCGCATGACGCTGCGCGCCGCCTGTCTGATTCACAGGTAACGTGTGGCCCCTTTGTACTCAACGCCCCCTTTCGCCGTCCGTGGCTAACGCGCCATTCCCCTGCCAAATAGCCACTGGAGTGTATTCGACAATGGCCTCGAGCTCACGCCCGCGCCGTCCACCAACGGCTCATCACGCGGGGATCTTGTGTCGTGGCCCCGGCACCTCCGTGGCAATTCGCGCCTGCTCGTGCCCCAAGGCGCGGACGTGGACTTGCAGATCTACAACGCCCACCTGGCGCTCATGGGGATCGCAACGGACCGCGAGGACGACGACTGTGCGGACAACGGCCCTGGGGACCAGGATCCTTTCTGCCGTGTCACCCGGCTGCACACCCGGTTAAAACGCTGGTACGCCAGTCTGCCGAGCCACCTGCGATGGAGCACCGAGCAGTCCAAGCACTCGGGGCCTCCAAGTTTATTTCTACTTCAGTACGTATCTGAGCAGCACTCTCTCGCCCTGTCACGAGCAATGGTCAATGGTTTACTCTCTGAAACACATTTCATGTGGCACACGCACAAGCAACCCACGGATCGTTAGCAAAGCTGGATGACTAACTGATGTCTGTCTCTAGCCAGCAATACCACGCTGTCCTAATTCTGCTATTCCGCCCTTTGAGCTCCGAGGAGTCGCTCCAAAACATTCTATCACCGTTGGATGCGGCCACGACTTGCCACCAACTTGCCGCCTCGATCGCCAGTCTCACGCTCTCTCACGCGATGCAGTTAGCATCCTTACTCTCCGAATCAGTCGAGCAGTTCGAACTCGGGGCGATTTTGCCTCTGGCACTTCAACAAGGGGCCCTGGCAGCCAGCGTGCTCTTGAGCAGCGCGCCGAATATCAAGAACGAAAGTACGCGCAGCTCAGTCTCTCGCCAACTCGACCTCCTGCAGCGGTTCTTTACGAAAACCTCCGCCGTGCACATCCCGGCTGAGAGACTAGTTGGGATTTTACTGAATATTAGAGGTCCAAGCGAAAGTACTACCACTCTTCTGAAGCAGACGTGGCAACCTGTCCCGTTCTCTCCGGGGAGAGACGCCGAATGTCTGGGCGACTGTCAACATTTAATGTCCTTAGATGGGCATGATGGAGCGCTGTCACGGCGGGACGACCAGTCCAATCGAGGGGAGCCTGCTGGAGGTCACTTACTCGACGAAGGAGGTGTTGAGACGGGCCTTGTAGCGCCCTCCCCTTACGTGTGGACAACGACAGGTCAAGGTCCCCATGAGGCTGAGCAACTCATGGACTCTTCCGGAGATAGAAGTGAAATTTTAGTATCACCGCCGGCAGATGAATCGAATGGACGTCTGCGTGGTCGACAACTCGATGCCACACAAGGAGCCATTCTCCCAGAAACACCGACGTCCCCACAGAGCGTTTCGAGGGCTTTTAGTCCTTTGACGCCGATGCAAACACTCTTTGCTCCAGCAGATTCTTCAAATGTCCAGCAAACCACCCACAACCAAGAAGTTCTCCCCGTTGGTGATCATGCCACGGACTCTTGGGATGATGGCGACGCCGTTAGCGTCTCCTGGTCGGAAACATTCAAGACTCTCCACGCGGTGAACCGACGAACTGCTGGTGAGAAGCTGAGCTCCAACGAGTTCGGCGACGTTATGGGCTGTGTGTTTCAGCTGTAGTGGCTATCACTCGAAGACCCTTCTGCTCACTGCGCATACTTGACGCAGTCCCGCTCGACTACCATGGTGTCTCGTGGTCATTACTCACAGTTCTCTCCCAACCTCAATGCACTCCGTCAAGGCCCTGGAAAACCATTTCCAATGTCGAAAGCACCACCGTCGTTCGATGAAAAACCAAGATCATACAGTGGCGGGTTTGAACTTTCAAGAAAATCATAGTTTGATAGACTCTCCATCCACGATTGCCAGAATATCTCGTCATCCTCTTTGAAGGGAGAAGTTTCCAGCGCAGGGGCTGTCGGCGTCCCGGACGGTGCGGAAGGGGAATTGTGCAGCATGGTAGAAAGCCACATGCCGTTGGGCTGCCAATCATTCGGAGGGGAAGGCCGAGTTGAACCATCGTCCATGGCGACCTCGTTGATAACCATACCAGCATCCTGCTTCTCAGCTTCTCTCAAGTATTTCAACGCATCGACCGCAGTGCCATAAGCGTCTTTCAGTACCCACAGAAACTGTTTGCACAGTTGTATCCCGTGCACTGCCGCTCGCCGTACCGTCTCGTTTGGCGCCTTGACGTCCAAGAGGTGTATCACGACCGCGGAGACGACACTTCCTACCGCTCCTGTTGAGAGGTATGGCATCAGGCCGGCCTGGTATAGATCTTGATTGATTCGTGTAAGCTCCCAAGCGGTGTGACGCAGAAGACGCTGTGAGGTGCCATCCAGTTCTTCCTGGCTATCTCGCCAGGTGGAACTGGGCGACAGTGCTTTGAGTCGATACAATGCGCTGACCGCCACATGATAGAGAACTTGCACGGTTGATATATGTACTGCCAGGCTACGAGGCTGGTCCAAGGGCTCTCGATTTGTCGTTGCAGCATGCGCCTTGTAGCGCAGGTCGGCAGGCATTTCTCGATACCATCGGGCAAAGTCTTGTGTGCAGCGATTGAGGCGGGCAGAAGGTGATGATAGCTGGCGTTGTTGCTGGCTCCCTTGACCTCGGTTTCTCATCTCTTGACGGCACTTGAAGATTGTAGAGACGAATGAAGCAATACACACGCATAACTTTTTGTGTTCGACACATAACCTCACCAATGTGTCGCGTGTTCGCTGGTTGTCTGTCAGGCTGAGGAATCTCCTCGTCTCTGGTGGATAGAGATTGGGCGAAGCCTGAAATTTTTCGGCCAGATCGTCGGCTGTGAGCATTCCCACGTTGTAGTAGGTGGACCTGTGCGGGCGCCCCAAGGCCAGCGCAACTTTCTGATCCCGTGCAAATGCACACCACCACACCCGACGGCGAAGATGTTGCTCCGACAGATCAAACTGAGACTCGTCGGGCTCGAGGTGCAGCTGCATCGAGTAGGCCAAGGACACTCCGGTGCCAGTCCAGAACCATGGGTCTGCTTTTTCGTTTGTTCCGGGGTACCATGTGCTCAGGAGGACGGCTGCCTGACATGCTACGAGCCTGTCCAGGTCTATATTAGAGTAGAAGAGGACCTAGCAACCAGTTTAGTAGTCTAAGGTTGACGTCGGGAAAGAATGTTGGGGGATTAGGGACAACATGAACGTACCTTCGCCCGACCAAAAAACGCACGGCGTGCAGCTTGTCTGGAATCGAAGCCTTCTCGGGCTATCCACTGATCCTCCACGAATGTCACTCCCGAACACATGACCGCCTGGAACAGCAAGAGGCTGATCTGGTCGACATTGCCTTCTTCGCGGGCAAGAATCGACAGAAGCTGGCGTTTCTCCAATAGAGGAAGGAGCGGATGCGTGAACTCCAGATATCGCGCGATGCACACGTCGAGGAACTGCGTACTCGGCAGTGACAAAGCACCCTTCGCGTGCAGATATTGCAGGTCCGCTGAGTCTAGTGTATCGGGGAGGGGTTTGATGAAGGCCGGCAAGGCTGGAGTGATGGCAGCTTCCAAGGAACTCGAGCTTGTGGGAGGAGCTTGCGCTGCAGGCGACTGTGTGGTGATTCCATGACCGCAACCCTGTGCCTTGCCTGGATAGGTGGCAACGACCGTCTCTTGTGCGCTGTGCTCCGGATCATAAGGGCCCTCTTGATGCGAGGTTGCATCCACGATCAACTGATCCTGTTCTGAGGTATGAACTCCAGACTTGCTCGCCTTGGATACCCTTTCGAAAATGATGTATCAGCTGCCATTCCAGCTTTACACGACTAGCGCCTTCAGATACATACCTGTGGCGTTTGCTCTTGGTAACAGTACACGCCAACGAGTCCAGGCGGCAATTGGTGCAAGGAATGCCAGTTAGCACCGCATCGCAGCGCACTTTCCGAGCACGACAGAGAATACAGGCTCTTCCAGCGCGCCTCTTCTTCCCTCTTTCGGTAATTTCAGATGCTGACATACTGGCCTATCCGTGGGTTCATCTCCGGTGCGCGCTGGATGTGTCTGCCACTCTGCTGAATGAGTATGTGGTTGTCCTCGGCTGTGGACGAACCTTGCGATATCGGCTTGAGACCAGGCTTGACCCACTTCGGAGACGAGGCCGGGACTCGGCCAATACCTCCACTGAAAATTTAGATAGCCACGGGTATCTCAAGAATATGGGGCGGTCATACCATCTATTCATGCCAAGAGAGGACTTTATGCTCATACGTACACATAGATAGCCGGTCTCGTACGACATGGTCAACGGACAGGGCTCTCCACATGGCTTCCCCACGCAAAAAGGCTTTGGGGCTCCGCATTGAAGGTATAGCAGTAGGGGTTATGTACAGCACATTCCCCAGACTCCCTGTGCTTTCGACCTTCATCCAGACCTTCAGTACACAATGGCAGCACCTATGACATCTTCCGCTAAGGACATCTCTGCAAAGGCGGAGCATCAGGACAGGTTGAGCGACTTCGACGAAGATGCCAACACCCCTGACCCGCGCCAGGTGAGACAGATCAAGAAGAAGATCGATCTTCGAATTTGCATGGTGCTGGGTGTGTTATACACTGCCTCGTTGATCGATCGTGTCAATCTTCCTGTGAGTGCGCCCCCGATCTATGAGTTCGTTGCTAATGTGACCAGAATGCGTAAGTCATCCCCTGGTCCTCTTGTCCCGGCTTCAGACCTAACCATGCACAAAGATATGTGGCTGGAATGGGAACAGATCTCGACCTCAAAGGAAATGCTTATGTCAGTTTACAGCCGGCTGGCGTGACAAAGAGTGACAGTAATAACAAGAGATCCAATAGACTCTTTTGATTCTCGTCTTCTTCCCATTCTATATCTCGTTTCAGCCGCCGATGACAGCGATCGCAAGAAAGCTCCGAGCTCGTCGCTTCCTGGGTACCATCGTTGTTGCCTGGGGTCTGGTCATTGTGGGACATGGACTGGTGAAAAGCTGGCATGCCATGCTCGCCCTGCGATGCCTGCTCGGAATATTCGAAGCGGGTTTCTTCTCGAGCTGTGCATATCTGCTTAGCACTTGGTATGTTAGAGGTAAGAATATCCATCAACCAAACCATATTCAGTCTCTCACGGTTTTCTCTCCAGCCGAGGTTGCAAAGCGCAATGCTGCCTTCTATCTTCTGGGATCACTCATCGCTGGCTTTGGAGGTATCCTTGCCTATGGCGTAAGTCTTGCCAACCACACGGAGCTTCTTTGATCATGCTAACAGCGTCACAGCTCTCAAAGATGGATGGTGTTGGAGGCCATGCTGGTTGGCGGTGGATCTTTCTAATGGAAGGCATCATCACCATTGCCTTTGGCCTTGTAGCCTACTTTCTCATTGTCGACTTCCCGGAAGACGCACACAAATCCTGGAAGTTTCTCAAAGACGACGAGATCAAAGTTGTCATCGACCGCATCAACAAAGACCGCCTCGATGTCGAAACGCCCCCATTCAAACTGGGTTCGTACTTGAAGAACGCCTTGGACTGGAAGATCTGGTTCTTTGCCGCCAACTTTGGTCTCACTTCGGTCGTGACATACGCCGCCGCATACTTCCTTCCTCTTGTACTTCGACAAGGGCTCGGATTTTCAGAGGCAGCAGCTCAGTGTCTGAGCACGCCGGTAAGCATGTATTCAGCTGAGACAGTGTGCAGTTACCACGTTGCTAATCGCTCGTCCCCAGTGTTACGTCTTTGCTTCTATTCTCGGTCTGGTCGAAAGCGTCATCTCCGACCGAATTGGGCTTCGCACCCCGTTTCTCCTGTTCAACTGTGTCATTGAAGTGATCGGGGTCGTTGTTCTCGGATATGCAAAGCAGAGCGGCGTGCGATATTTCGGGGCCTTTCTCATCATCGGAGGGGCAAATTCAAACATTCCTCTAAGTTTAACATACCAGGCCAACAACATTCGAGGCGTGTGGAGACGTGCCTTCTGCTCTGCAACCATTGTCGGTGCCGGAGGTATTGGCGGTATAGTCGGCTCTTTGACTTTCAGAAGTCAGGATGCGCCGCAGTATAGGTAAGCCTTTTGCCGCTTCACCAATGGTGGCCTCGTTGTCTTCAGCATGCTGACTCTCCTCAAGGCCGGGCCTGTATACCTGCATCACGGCTGCTTGCATGACATTCCTCTCTGTCTGCACCACCTCGACCTATTTCTTCGTCCAGAATAGAAAGCAGAGACAAGGGACGACTGTTATAGAGGGTTTGGAAGGCTTCAGGTATACCTACTAGATGCACAGACGAAGCAAAGGAGAGAAGCGCGAACCATAGCCAAGCTAGGATCCTATCCTGATAGTGTTTGCCTACAGCTGTCTCTTTAGAATCTTCAGAATCGTGACTGGACGGTTAGATTAGCCAATTCATGGGTGATGTCTCTATTGGAGACTTGAAATCGGGGTAGAGCGCCTAAAACGTTGCTAATGCCCTTCAACAGGTTTCTTCGAAAATTGCCCCAACTTTGAACGTCGACAAGCCGAATTCATGCCCGAAGTTTCCTCGCGTGCCGCCCGGTTCCAGACATACTCATGGATCACATTCCTTGTGCAGAAGACTTCACCCACCCTGAAATACCCTTGTTCGTTGATGAAGATGTCGAGGTCTCCGTAACTACATCCGAACTTGAAGGCTTCCCTCGGAGGCACGGCTGGAATGCCGAGTCGTTCATGAGCCTCGACTTCACCTCAAGGGCCCATGGGCGAAGCGAAACGGATATAGCGACCCTCATCCAGTTATGGCTCTATTTTGGAGTGTTGTCTGCTGCGCTTGATGTGACGGTCAACATCCGAGATTTTTGTCTCGAGACGCCCACCGGCCCCAAGCTACACACTGCGCACTTGAGCGTGCTCGTGTGCCGATTCCTCAAGAGGGGACAATCCTTGTCCAAGGCGCACAAGATACGCATGGTGAGCTCCCTGTGCGAGGCGACCAAATTGCAAGGGCGTCTCCTCGCCGGCCTCGTCGACGGTAGTGAAGCTAGTCCCATGCTTCTCCAGCTTGGTCACTCTCTTACTGTGCTGGGCTGCACGTTGGAGTTTGCGGTGCCCCAGATGATGAGCAGGGCCATGGTGGCCTCCGACATTCGCGAAGGCTCGATCAGGCTGTGGGCCGAACAGTGGTCTACCGGTCGGCTGCTGAAGCAGCTTTTCACCGAACGAGGCTGGTGTCCGAGTGATCTGCCGCGGCTCAGTAGATTGGTGTCCGTCAACGCGCTCTGCTACGCCGTGACGATCCGCAGAAAGGAAATGGTGGATCATGGCCGTTGCAGCGAGCAGGAATGCGCCGTGAATAACGTTGACAGGAACACCTACCGCACGCGACATCTAGAGCCCGAGTGCCACTGCCCTCAAATCGAGGATACCGGTCAAGCGGCCTGCAAAATCCTGGCACAAGGCAGCTACCCGTTGGTGAGCCTCGAGTCTCTCACAAACGAGTCTGCGCGGGTGAGGCTGATCCCGTATCGCTCCGGCACGCGTTATACCGCGATCTCACATGTCTGGAGCGACGGGATGGGAAACCTCGAGGCGAATTCGGTCACCACTTGTCGTCTGAGACACTTTGCAAACCTCCTTCCGAACTTTGCAGACACCAAACTCTTGTGGATTGATACGCTCTGTGTGCCTCTGGACACACAATATCGAAAAACTGCCATCATGTTGATGACGCAGACGTATGAGAGAGCTGCGCAGGTGCTCGTGGTGGATTCAGAGCTGAGGGGCACGACGTACACCGACCGGCCTGTCTACGAGGCATTCGCGCGGATTGCCGCATCTGGGTGGATGCGACGTGTCTGGACATTGCAGGAGGGCGTGCTTGCATCTCGGCTCTTTGCTGAATTCCGAGACGGCGTGATGGACGTGACCTCGGCCGTGTCCAAGGTCAACGAGGAAACCAACGCATCACGCTTTGAGCTCAACATGGTGCCGATCGAATTCATGCTCGTGGTCGGGCTACTGCAAAGTATCCGGCGGGCCAGGGACAGAAGTTGCGAGTTCTTCATCAATGTGTGGAACGCGATGCGGCTTCGGCGCACGAGCTGGAGAGGTGATGAGATCATCTGCTTCGCTCAAATGTTGGGCCTTCCTGTCAAGGAGATTCTAGCTGTCGAAGGACACGAGCAGAGGATGATGACATGTCTCTCGATGCTGGACCATGTTCCTCTTGGCCTGCTGTTCACATACGGTCCAAAATTGACGATCCAGGGTTACCGGTGGGCGCCGCGCTCGTTCTTGCAAGAAGAGCGCATTGATCCGACTTTCACGCCGGTGCCAAGGGATGACAGGGGATTGAGGTTGACATGCTGCGGTATCTTCCTGGATCAATTTGCTGGACTAGGACGTGATGGAAATGCTTACTATTGGGATGAAGATGATTTGGTCTTGAACGTGCGAGTCGGAGGCGGTTGGCAAGGGACCGAGATGGCAGGTAAACTGCTTGGGTCAAAATTGGCGATCCTGATAGATGGGGCTCCTAGGGCAGCCTCCAGGGACATGTTCGGTATGGTGCAAGGTGCTCTAGTTACCGTGCAAGAGGCCGAAGACAATTGGGGTGTGCCATGCCAATATGAGTGTGGAGTTGACTGGGGCACAATGCTCAAGACAGACGTGACTCAAGAAGTCTCCGGCAAGTGCACGAGGACTGACGACAAGATAAACTGGCATCTTGGCTAACGAGATCATGTTCTTCCAAGGCGTATCACGGCACAGACGAGAGATCTAAGCGCGCGGGCAGCTCACAGCGCTGAACAAAGGCCCTTGCCCTCTGAGAACCGTTAAACGTTGAGCACCCTGCCATATCATTGCTTATTTCGATGTCAAAACCCTGCATACTGCGGTGGAATCGCCCATCAGGCATTCTGAGCCGGTTGCTTTGTGCCTTCTCTCACTGTCTAGAACCAGCACCTAATTAGCGGGAGAAGTCCCCGTTGTCGAAAATCCACCGTTGGTGCCACCATAAACCAATCCATA